AAAATAAAATAAAATTCAGGTTAGGCCTAAAGAACAAAATAGGCTTCGGGCTCGATCGAAATCAGACTTTAAGTCCGGTTAAATTAAAATTGAGCTTGAAATCTAATTGAATTAAAATCAAATATTAACTCTTGAACCCGAAAACTGTTAATTAAAATTCGAATAAATTTAATGTCTACATATTATATCAACTCAAACTCTATTATTCAGTACTTTGTTTCCATTGTTACTTATGGAGTGAGTCGGTCAATAGAAATTTGGAGTTGTCCAATAAAGCTTAAAGACGAAGCAATTTTTTTTTGTCTTTGTGCTTTAATGCTATACCTTAAATGGTTGGTTTATATCCAATTTTAGGTATATAGATTTTTAGATTTAAAAATATATAAAAAAAAATTGATATTAAAGGGAAACAGGTAATTTTTCAGGGTTATTAAGTTTAAAAAATATAAAATTTTAGTGTTTAGCTAAAAATTATTTAATAAAATATTTTTACTATATTATTTTTGATAATATATGAGTAAAAATATAAAATAACTTATTTATTTAATTTTTTATAGGATTTTTAATTATAAACTATTTATAAATTTAATTAAATATTTCAAATATTTTTAATTTATTTATTTAAAAAAATAAAATGACAATGGTTTCCTCTTAATAAACACCTTCTCATTTATTACAAAATTTATAAATAAAAATATAAAAATAAATTTCCAATATACTTTTAATAAAACTATATAGTAAAACTTGTAGTTGTTGAAAATTACTAAAAAAAATTGATAAAAGAATGTTATATTATGGAATATAAATTCACCTTTTTTTTAACAAAAAATCTAAAAAAAAATGTGAATCATTCCAAAAGATAGTTTATTGAATGTAAGATATCAAATGATTTTGAGTTTTATACTTTCAAGTTTTATATTTTCAAAAGGAAAGGGATTTATTAACATTAATGTCAGATAATGATCATAAATATTAACAATCGAACATTTTTATAAATGACATTCCGAAATAAGAAAACGTAGTAAAGATTAAAATATAATTTTTTTTTGGCAATAAAACATCGTTTTTTTCCCAATTTTTTTTTTATTTGTTAGAAGTGTATAAATTTTTTATTCTTAAAATTTTTTCGTAATACATTTTCAATAAAAACTGTATTTTTAATTTTAAAAACGATATCTTTGTTAAAGCTATAAAATTCTTAAAATTTTTTAGTTTAATATATTTAAAACAGAGATTGTGTTTTTAAAATAAAAAAAATGTGGTTTTAAAATATATTAAAAAATTTAATTTCATAATATCTTATAAAAAATTATCTCTTTTCTAAAATAAATAATATTGTATATAATCCAAAAATGTAATTAAATGAAGGTAAATAAAAAAAAATTCGGATGAGATTAAAATTTGAGAGCAAAAGGTTAAGAATTGATATTTCTTATTACAACTTGTTTTCAATTTGAAAATGTAGAAGAGAGACTAAAGCAAGATAAAACTATAAAAAAGTTTAATTAGCTATATTATAAAAGCCATTAGTACTTTTATCAAGTCTTCCTCCTCTTATTCCACCTCCAGCAGCCCTAGCTTTACCATTTCCACCACCTCATGCTCCTCTTCTCCACCAGCAGCCACAATACTTCCACTTCCACCATTATTACCACCAAGCCCCCTCCAACTGCTCCACCTCCACCACTACCTCTTGCTCCACCAAGAATACCATCACTTTTTAATCAGCTTCCTTCTCCACCTCCTAGGCCTCCACCACCACCACCACCCAAATCTCCAGCAGTACCAAGGCCACCTAAACCACCACCAACACCTCTACAATTTTGTAAAGCATGATGGGCAAGTAGTCCAAGTTTAAGTATTAAAGACCTCCAGTCTCCTTATTGTCCTTGAGGAAAAATGAACGATGATGCAAACTCTTGTCATCTCCATTAACATCATGATCAGCAACTGGAAAACCATCCACGAGAATAACACACAAGAAAGCAACCACACAAAAAAAAAAAAAGAGCAAAAACAAGCATCACCATCTAAAAGTTTAAGCAAAAGCTTACTCAGAATAGTCGAATTGTAATGTCAAACAAAATGGAATTACATTTTTTTCCTAAAAAACTATGAATTTTTTTCAATCTTTTTGAATTTTTTCTTTCTTTTCTTCTTTGTTTTCGTTTTTATTTGCTGGTTAGCTTGTCAAAAAATAAAAAATGAGTTTATATTTAATAGAATATCAATGTATAAATTTTACATTATCAGTGAAACAGATAAAATCACCTTATTAAAAATAAATATTATTTTTTAAAATAAATATGTAAAAATAATATTTTTTTAAAAAATTTATTCGTTAACCAAATAATATCATTTAATTTCACCGATAATATATTAAATTTATATATTAATAATATATCGAATATAAACTCGTATGAAATTTATTAATAAAAAAGATTGAATTTAAATAAAAATCAAATTAAAAGGCTAAACTTAAAGCGAGGGAGTAAAAATCGGCGTACCATTCACTAAAAATCATTACATCATTTACTCAAAAAAAAAAAAAACTATATCGTAAACCATTCTAACTTGTTAACCGAATTTGTTCCCCCTTTCTTCAAAACAATCAAACAATTACATTATTTTTCAGTATTCCCAATCTTGATTCTGTCATGAAAATGATTAAAAAAACGTGGATTTTGCATGTTAAATAGAGCACGCATGGTTTAACCGGTTCAACCAAGCTAAGGCAATATCAACAATGGCAACATCAATCTCAAAAAAATCTTCATCCAACGCTGCCCGACCACCTCAGGCAGTAAAATTTGCCCGAAGGACATCAAGCGGTAGAGTTATGAGCTTATCCAGGGACGATAACATAGACATCTCTGGTGACCTATCAAACCAAAATGACTATATCAATTACACAGTTCTTATGCCACCAACACCTGATAACAAACCAGGCTCAGAGCCCTCTTCAGACTCTAAACCTGAGGGGCAACAAGGCACATATGGGACATCTCGGTTCACCTCAGACTCGCAACGTATGAGAAGTCGGGGAGGGGAAGAGGAAGGTGGTATGAATGAGCCTGGAATGGGTGCGAAAGTAGATAGAAGGATTTCAGTAACGACGTCAGCAAATAACAAGTACATGTTGTTAAGGAGCCAGACGGGGGGTTTTGATCATAATCGTTGGCTGTTTAAGTCAAAAGCAATATACGTTTATCATAAATATTATATGTGACACAATATAATTAATATAGTTAAAATTAATTAATATTCAACTAACATGATACGATATAAAAAGATTAATATGATTATATATGAATAATACGATTAAATACGATTAATTATTCAAATAATATCACGTGACATGACACAATACAATTAAAACGATTATATATAAATAATATAATCAAACACAATCAATCTATTTATTTAAACAAAAAAATCATTTAAATAGTATTTAAATAAAAAAATTCAAAAATTAAATATTTCTAATTTATTTAAACACTAAAATGATATGATAAATATAATTATTAATTTATTTTTTAAATAAGTTAAAAATTATAAATAATATTGTATCTGTATCATTATTGTCTAACATAAATACAATATGAATAATATCATATTTTAATCATATTGACATGATTAAAATATGAAATACAATTATATTAAATTTATATACGATTTTTTTCATATTAATTTTATATTATATTATTATATCGTATTTAAAATACAAAGACCTCGTGAAATTCTAGATTAAATGAATTTTGAAGTCCCATCCCCTGCACTGACAAATCTGACATCAAATTTTAAGAGATCAAATAATATTATACTTGGTCTTATATTTTATTAGATATATCTTATTATATTTATATTCATGAAAAATATATATTTATGGATGAAAGTAATATACAAATAAAATAAATTTACAAAATAATAAATTTTATTGATTTATAAATATTATGAAAAAAACAAATAAATAAATAAATAATTTTATTTAAATTATGATTGATGTTTTTTTATATAAATAAATTGTTAAACAATATTTTTTTTTTGAAAACAAGAAAAATAAAATACATCTTTAAATAATTTTCTTTAAGATATTTTCTAACAGTTTACTAAACGGTCCTAAATCTTTGCAAGCAAGAGAAGATCTAAAGTAGAATTTAAAGTAAAAAATTATAGCATTAATGATTAATAGTTTGTATATATACAAAATAAAAGAGATATTAAGCTAGCTTATCTCATCTAATGTTTTTTGCTTTTAAACTAGTTTTATCTTAAATTTAAACAACCTAAAGAAAAAGGAAAAAACCATTTGGAAAGACAAAAAAAAATTTTTCATTTTGATTTTTTTATTTTAGTTTCTACTTTCTCACTACCTTCTCATAAAAATAAAAAACCTAGCTACCACCATACAGTTACCGGCCATCGTACTCCACCATTCTGTTCGTTGTCTTCCGCCACTTGCCGACGCCCATTCATCACCAAATTTCATTTTCAAACTCCTTTCAATCTATTCTTTCCCTTCCTCGTGTTGGATTCTTACAAAAAGAGTTAGATTAGTCTAGTTCTAATCCGAAACCCAATTGCTCCTCCCCTCAAAAACTCTATTTCGCCTCTACCAACACTAGAATCAAACCTAGAAATCCTTTCCTCCATCAATTTCCCTCTGTTTCAATCGTTAAAACATCAAAAAACACCTAAGAAAATCCTTACTTTTGCAAAAATTGAGTGAAAATAAATAACAAACAACATTTTCAGATTTGTTTTATCTTGAAAATTTGTCTACTGAGGTGATTTCTACAAGAGAAAGAGTAATCCCTTGCCATGTACAAACAAGGTGTTCATTAAGCGGTTGAAAACATGAAATCGAAAAAAATTCATGGTTGCTCTTAGAACACTATCCTAATAAAAAAAACAAGATAAACAAAGAATAAGATAAGTATATCTACAATCACATGTTTTAAGTTATCAGATATGATATATTTTATTTTGATTTAAGAGATTGAACAACTTATTTACCCTAAATTTTTACATACAAAAAAAAATATTTTAATGGGATAAATTAAAGTGATGTTGATGAAATTATGATCAAAGTTCAGTGACTAGGTAACTAACATATTTTTCCTATCCAAAGGCCAAACACAAGGTCAAAAACAGACAACAAGAACATGCTTATTGCCGAAATTGTAGATGCTACTTGTTAATTTCTTGTGTTTCTTCTAAGCCAAGGTTCCAAAACAAAATTTTGGATCTACGCACAGCAAGCAGACGATCGTTACTATTTCAATTACTCCCGGCTCATATCATATCTTAACAAATTCCATCTTTATGCCCGCATCACCACTTGGGCATGCAGTAGACAGGTAATGGATTTTACAGCCGGTCGATTTGGTGATCGAACTGAAAAATTAATAACCGAATTAACCGACTCTATTAAAAAGGTTGAAACCAACCAAACCATTCTCAATAACCGATATGTTAATTGGCACATCTGCCTTAGGGGCAAAATGTTTCCACAATATTAAACTTTACAAATATATTACTTTCAACACAATCTGCCTGCGGGGCAAAATATTTAAACATTATTGGAATGTGCATGCCATAACTTTTTCTCCTCAAATACAAAACATTAAATATTTAAATCCTGCAAAGGAATGTTGAACCAAATAGAAAGGAGAAGATTATATTACCTACCAATATTTTTAGGCCTCACCTCAATTCCTTCAATAATGAGGCCACGCTTAGAGTAATTACAGTTGATCTCCCGAAGGGAAAACTCCACTGTCCCATCATCTCCATATTCATTCAAAAACTCACCCATTTCAATCTCCATCCACCCATCTCTTCTTTCTTGAGCTTGTTGGGGAACATTTTGTGGATAGTCTAGAAACACACTCCTCACTTCCCCTGTTGTGGTTCCTTCCACATTCACATGCACACCTACAGTGCTATCTCTAAACCCATAGCTTCTCCTATTAAGCTTAAACACAAGGTATGCTGCATAGTTTGTTCTGGGAGATAAATTTCGGGTCTCAATCCTTCCCTTCACTTCCAGCCACCACACTACTCTGAGCTCAGCAACTTCAGAGAACCTGTCAATATGTTGGAGACAGAACCACAATAACTTGAGCTCATCAACAATGTTATTCTGTAAGTTGTAGATTTACGCAGATAAGCATAGTTTTTTTCTTGGCAATTGATATTGTTTTTCCTAGCCAACACAGTCGCTTAATCTGTTGATAAAGTACTAAATCAGGGATCAAACCCTGACAGCCACAAATATAAGAAAAAGGACATTGTTTTTCCTAAGCAGCAGTATTGAGTCATGGCCAATTAAGATCTTAAGATGTGAATATCATTGAACAAATAAAAACCAAAAAGAAGAAGAGAACAAACCTAGATTCTGGGAGAGATGTCCATGTCCAATACTGAGGTGTCTCTCCCCATATAATTGACAGTGCTCTTGCCCCTAGCATATAGCATCTTTTCCCAGTCTCTTTCTCCAATTGAAAGCTCTATTTACACGCAACCTTAATTTTTCAGAAAAATGCACCAAATGGAGCAAAACAACACATACTTTAAACCATATAGTACAAATTGTGCATGTTTAGCTTTGAAGAAATTGATCAACTTAGCCATGATTCCTTCTGGTCCAGTATCAAACATCCCTTAAAAATGCTATACATAATTAAAATTGTTCAGAAAATTAAATTTAAAACATCCCTTAAACACATGTTCTTGTAGCACAAAGTTGGAAAAGTGGATACAGGGTCAAATTTGAGCTTACCATGGTACCATTTTCAATGAGAATGGGATGAGAGGAGAGATGAAAAAAAAGATCCTTCTTTGCCCATGAAAGCAATGATGGAGATGAGGATCTTGAAATGATTTCCTGATAATCACAAGGCAGAAACCTCTCCCACACATCATCAGAGTCTGCAACTGGTCTCAAGGCGGGAGAAACCAGGGCCCATCGACATGCGTCTCGAGGCGAAGTCAATGATATGATCAGACACACGCACTCTTTTGGCAACAACTTTGTAAAATCCATTGCTCTTCTAAATTTTGGACCAGACATGTTTCTCTCTTCTCTTCCTTGCAAACACTTTTTTTTCATATTATTACAGGTCGGTCGTCTGCGGGAGACGACGTGTCTAGGTTTTGGTTCACAAAATATTCACTTAAATCCTTTGTTTTTAAGTTACGTTGACTAGTGGAATTAAATAATTATTTAAATTTTTTATATTTTATTATAATTAATTAAGTTATAAATTTTTTATTTTAGATGAATTAAACTTAAATATTTATTTTTATTTCAATTTGAATCCTCGATTAAATAAAAATAAATATTAATGGTTAATCACTTTTTGTTTAATAAAAATTTAATTGATAAAAATAAATATTTAAAAATTTAATTAATTATAATAAAATAATAAAATTTAACATGGTTGGTTTAGATTTTGGTTTATCTTTTCAATGGTACTTGGTAACGACAAGATTTATAAAGTACAAACCCAAAGTAAAAATAAAAGGAAGAAATAAACGCAAAAGACTGATGCGGTATCTACCTCGTCCATTAGATAATGATATGAAGAGGGGACTTCGAGAAGTCAATGCCACAGTAATGAAAAAAAAATTAATTCAGATTTAGCTCATTAAATTAAGATATTATTATAAAAATATTTTGGGTCAGACTTTTAAAGACAGTTATATATAGTATCTATAACTTTTTTACTTTTTGAATCAAATTGTTTAAATAATAAAAAATATTGTTTTATTTATTTTTGTAATATAAAATTTTTTTTCATTAAATACGAATATTTAAATATAAAAGATAAAATAATTAAAGTGAAAATGAAATTATATATTTTTAATTATGAATGATAATTTTATTTATTTGTATTTTATTATATTTTTAAATATTATCCAATTTATACCCTTAAGCTTAGGAAAGTGTTTATTTTTCAAGACTTTCTATCATTTTGTAAATTTAAATGCATTATTTTTAAATTTAAATTTGATAATTATATAAAATTTGAAAATAATTTATGAAAAGACAAATAATCTATTTTCACTTAAAAAATTCAAAAAATAAAAAATTTATAATAGTTCATTTTTAATGTGTCTCGAAATAGTTCATTTTTAATGTGTCTCCAAATTAGAAAATAAAACCACTCCGATGACTAAAGATTTATTTTGATAAAAAGAAAGATTGATTATGATAAAATTAAAAATAATAGTGAAGATAAAATTAATTATGACAACAGTAAAATTTATTATTATAATGATGATATTAAAATCAATAATAGAAAGATACATTTGGATGTAAACACAATAATAACAATGAGATGAATTGTGATGAAAAAAATAATTATTAAAGATATTATATTAAAATTTATATATAATAAAAAATTTTAATTATTTGACATTTATGAAAAGAATTTAAAAATAATAAAATTATATTTATGTCAAATAATAAATTTTAATAAATAATTAAAAATTAATAAAAAAAGATAGTAACATATCAAATGATTTTTTAAGTATGTATAATTAAATTATCAACTGTTTTGACAAAATGGTAATAAAAGAAGATTTATAGGACAAAAGAGTAAAAAAAAGATGCGATGGCGCGCCGCATCCCTTTCTCACCAGAAGACAATTGAGCTTTCGCCGGTGCCATATCAGCACAGTCGTGCTGCAACTGTGTTACCCAAACAAAAAAACCACAAATCTGCGACACGTTTACAACCAAAGGAGGCTTCATCTGACCAAACAACGGACACGATTGAATCCCAATCATGCCAAAGTCAGCCTCGCAATAAATTAACTTTGGTGGTGTATGGGACCAATTCGGACTAGTCCTTTCATAGTCCGAAAACAAAATACAAACAATTACGTCCCAACAATTGCAGAAAAGCATAGTACGTATCAATGCCTTGTCATGGAAAGGACTAATAAGTAGCTGTGATTGTTATAAACATGGGATGTTGAAGCTTGATTTTAATAATAATATTAAGTTTTACAAAGACATTAGTTAGGTTTAAGTTCTATCATACTTAAGTTTGATTTAATTTTATAATTTTATATTCAAATCATCAAATTATAAGTTAGTTTATTAATTAGTTAATTTATTTGTTTGATTTTTTATATAAAAGTCGTGATACAAGAAATAAAAATATTATAAGTATTAAAATTTAAATTTATTAAATATTATTTTTTAAAAATAATTATATAAATTAATTAAATTTAATTTATTTAATTGATCTAATTCATTGATTTTTTACATAAGATGCAAGTAATGATTTATAGTTGTAATTTTTCTTTCAATTATAAATTCACGAAAAAAATCGTTTGTATAGATTCCTTAAATTGCTGGGTTGTAGGGTCTAATGGAGGCATTCAAAGACACGACTCAAGATAGGATCAGCACTTTGTCTAGACAAAATCGTGGCGACCCTCAAAGTTGGATGCCTTTTGTTTGCCAAAGAGTGATGACGAGTCTTACAATTGATAGTTATTAAAAAAAAAAAAAAAAAAAAGAAAAGGGAAAGGGAAATGATTCAAGATATGCAATTGCTATAAGTTATTGTCTAGGTTTGCTATTACTCTGTAATTTATCGTCGTCGTATTATATTTTATGTCAAATATAATTTTAGATATAATATAAATAATTTTTACATAAATATGATATAAATATATGAATAATTTAAATACAAATATGATATATTTATCATAAATATTATATGTGATACAAGATAATTAATATAGTTAAAATTAATTAACATTCAATTAATACAATACGATATAATATAATTAACATTATTATATATGAATAATACAATTAGATACAATTAATTATCTAAATAATATGAAATAATACGATACGATTAACACGATTATATATAAATAACACGATTAAACAAAATCAATCTATTTATTTAAACAAAGAAATCATTTAAATTAATATTTAAACAAAAAATTCAAAAATTAAATATTTATAATTTATTTAAACACCAAAATGATATGATAAATACTATTATTATTTTATTTTTTAAATAAATTAAAAATTAAAAATAATATTATATCTTAAACATATCATGAACATGATATAAATAATATCATGTTTTAATCATATTAACATAACTAAAATACAAAATATGATTATATTAAATTCATACATAATTTTTTTATATTAATTTTATATTATATTATCATATCATGTATAAAACTGTCAGATCAAATCCTTATGAAATTTTAAATTAAATGAGTTTTAAAGTCTCATTCCCTGCACCAACGGATCTGACCTTAGATTTTAAGAGATCAAATAATATTATACTTGGCTTTATATTTTATTAGATATATCTTATTATATTTATATTCATGAAAAATATATATTTATGGATGAAAGTAATATACAAATAAAAATAAATTTACAAAATAATAAATTTATTGATTTATAAATATTATAAAAAACAAAAAAATCAAATAAATAATTTTATTTAAAATTATGGGTGATGTTTTGTTATATAAATAAATTGTTAAATAATATATTTTTTTCAAAACAAGAAAAATAAAATACATCTTTAAATAGTTTTATCTAAGATGTTTTCTAACATTTTACAAAATGGTCCTAAATCTTTGCAAGCAAGAGGAGATCTAAAGTAGAGTTAAAAGTAAAAATTTATATGCATTAATGATTAATAGTTTGTATATATAGCTTATCTCATCTAATGTTTTTTGAATTTAAACTAGATTTATCTTAAATTTAAACAACCTAAAGAAAAGGGAAAAAACATTTGAAAAACAAAGAAAAAAAAATTCATTTTGATTTTTTTTTTATTGTAGTTCCTACTTTCTCACTACCCTCTCTTAAAAGAAACTCTAGCCAGCACCGTACAGTCACCAGCCATCGTCCGCCACCATTCTGTTCGTTGTCTTCCGCCGCTCGCCGACGCCCATTTATCACCAATCTTCAATTTCAAGCTCCTTTCAATCTATTCTTTCCCTTCTTCATGTTGGATTCTTACAAAAAGAGTTCGATTAGTCTAGATCTAATCCGAAACCCAACTGCTCCTCCCCTCTACAACTCTATTTCGCCTCTACCAACACTAGAATCAAACCTAGAAATCCTTTCCTCCATCAATTTCCCTCTGTTTCAATCGTTAAAACATCAAAAACAACTAAGAAAATCCTTAAATTTGCAAAAACTGAGTGAAAATAAATAACGAACAACATTTTCAGATTTGTTTTATCTTGAAAATTTGTCTACTGAGGTGATATCTACTAGAGAAAGAGTAATCCATTGCCATGTACAAACAAGCACGAAACAGAAAAAAAATTCATGGTTGCTCTTAGAACACTATCCGCAACCACTTGTCTTAAGTTGTCAAATACAATACATCTTACCTTGACTTGAAAGATTGAACAACTTATCTATATTGAATTTTTTCGTACCATAAAAAAAAATATTTTAATGGGATAAATTAGAGTTCAGTGATGTTGATGAAATTATGATCAACGTTCAGTGACTAGGTAAATAACATATTTTTCCTATCAAAAAGCCAACACACAAGGTCAAAAACAGACAACAAGAACATGTTTATGCTGATATTGTAGATGCTACTTGTTAATTTCTTGTGTTTCTTCTAAGCCAAGGTTCTAAAACAAAATTTTGGATCTACGCACAGCAAGCAGACGATCATTACTATTTCAATTGCTCCCGGCTCATATCATGACTTAACAAATTCCATCTTTAATCTCGCATCACCACTTGGGCATGCAGTAGAGTGGTAATGGATTTTACAGTTGGTCCACTTGGTCGATCGATCTGAAAAATCAATAACCGAATTAAACGACCATATTAAAAAAGTCAAAACCAACCAAACCATTCTCAATAACCGATATGGTAATTGGCAAATCTGCCTTTGGGGTAAAATGTTTCCACAATATTAAACTTTACAAATATATTACTTTCAACACAATCTGCCTTTGGGGCAAAATATTTAAACATTATTGGAATGTGCATGTCATAACTTTTTCTCCTCAAATACAAAACATTAAATATTCAAATCCTGCAAAGGAATGTTGAACCAAATAGAAAGGAGAAGATGATATTACCTACCAACATTTTTAGGCCTCACCTCAATTCCTTCAATAATGAGGCCACTCTTAAAGTAATTACAGTCGATCTCCCGAAGGCAAAACTCCACTGTCCCATCATCTCCACATTCATTCAAAAACTCACCCATTTCAATCTCCATCCATCCATCTCCTCTTTCTTGAGCTTGTTGGGGAACATTTTGTGGATAGTCTAGAGACACACTCCTTACTTCCCCTGATGTGGTTCCTTCCATGTTCACATGCACACCTACAGTTCTCTGTCTAAACCCATATCTTCTCCTTCTAAGCTTAAACACAAGGTATGCTGCATAGTTTGTTCCGGGAGATAACTTTCTGGTCTCAATCTTTCCCTTCACATCCAGCCACCACACTAACCTGAGCTCAGCAACTTCAGAGAACCTGTCAATATGTTGGAGACAGAACCACAATAACTTGAGCTCATCAACAATGTCATTCTGTAAGTCATAGATTTATGCAGAAAAGCATAGTTTTTCTTCTGGTAATTGACATTGTTTTTCCTAGCAAACACAGTCGCGTAATCTGTTGATAAAGTACTAAATCGCGGATCAAACCCTGACTGCCACAAATACAATAAAAAAAGACATTGTTTTTCCTAAGCAGCAGTATTGAGTTATGGCCAATTAAGATCTTAACATGAGAATATCATTGAACAAATAAAAAAAAAAAAAAGAAGAAAACAAACCTAGAATCAGGGTGATCTGTCCAATTCCAATACTCAGGCGTCTCTCCCCATATAATCGACAGTGCTCTTGCCCCTAGCATATAGCATTTTTTCCCAGTCTCTTTCTCCAATTGAAAGCTCTATTTAGACACCAGCAACCTTAATTTTTCAGATAAATGCACAAAATGGAGCAAAACAACACATACTTTAAACCATATAGTACAAATTGTGCATGTTTAGCTTTGAAGAAATTGATCAACTTAGCCATGATTCCTTCTGGTCCAGTATCAAACATCCCTTAAAAATGCTATACATAATTAAAATTGTTCTAAAAATTAAATTTAAAACATCCCTTAAACACATGTTCTTGTAGCACAAAGTTGGAAAAGTGGATACAGGGTCAAATTTGAACTTACCATGGTACCATTTTCAATGAGAATGGGATGAGAGGAGAGATAAAAATAAAGATCCTTCTTTGCCCATGAAAGCAAAGATGGAGATGAGGATCCTGAAATATTTTTCTGATAATCACAAGGTAGAAACCTCTCCCACACAGCATCAGAGTCTGCAATTGATCTCAAGGCAGGAGAAACCAGGGCTAATCGAAGTGCGTCTCGAGGCGAAGTCAATGATATGATCAGACACACGCAGTCTTCTGGCAACAGCTTTGTAAAATCCATTGTTCTTATAAATTTTGGATCAGAAATGAAACAAGGAAAAATGGCTTTTCGACTGTTGTCTGCTGGAGATGGCTTGTCTAGGTTTGGTTGAGAAAATTTTCACTTAAATCCTTCGTTGTTAAGTTTCATTCACCACTAGAATTCAATAATTATTTCAATTATTTATACTTTATTATAATTAATTAAATTATAAATTTTTTATTTTATGTCAATAAAATCTTAAATTTTTATTTTTATTTTTATTTGAATCCTCGAATAAATGAAAATAAAAGTTAAAGATTAATCACTTTTTGTTTAATAAAAATTTAATTGATAAAAATAAGTATTTAAAAATTTAATTGTTTCTAATAAAATAATAAAAATTTAAGTGATTATTGAATTTTTATTGGATAATCCTTTTATCCTTTAACCTAAATAAAACTAAACAATTTATTTATCTTTAATTTTCGTTAAAAAATTGTTTTGTGAAAAGTAAATTTTTTAGTTTTCTTTTTCACTTAACGATAGATTCTCAATCTCTCCCTCCACTTTTCTCTCTATCTATCAGTATTATGATTAAAAAGTATAAATAACATATTAATATTCATAAATTATTTGAATTTGATTTAAATAAAATTTAAATTTAATTCGATTATTATTGAATTGAGTACGAATTCAAATAATTTGATTTATCGATCGAGTTGAATTTAAGTATTTTTATATTTGACTCGAATCACTCGTGAGTTTAATCAAATTTTTATATTTTAATATATTTTAATTATTTTAATTAATAAAATATTTACTCGAACTTAAGTTCGGATATAAATAATCAAATTTTTATTAAATATAAAAATTAAATTTATTTTTATATGTTAATCGAATTTAATCGAACAAATTCAAATAACTTAATTTTTATCTTAAATTAAATTCAAACTAAAAATAAAACTCAATTAAATTTAAATCAAATTTTGAAACCAAATTTTAAATCAAACTCAAATTTACACTTAACATTATATAAATTCAAACTTAATCGATTGTATTAGGACTTTGATTCCGTTGTTACTGTTGGAGCGAGTCGCTCAATAGAAATTTGGAATTGTCTGATAAAGCTTAAAGACGAAGATTTTTTTTTTTTTTTTTTTTGTCTTTGTGCTTTGACTGGTTTATTAACTCAACCTGCATTTAATGCTATACGGTTGATTTTTAGATTTAAAAAAATATAAAAAAAACGATATTAAAGAGAATAAGTAATTTATGAGGTTTATTAAGTTTAAAAAATATAAAATTTTTGTGTTTAGTTAAAAATTATTTAATAAAACATTTTATTATATTGTTTTTGATAATATATGAATAAAAATATAAAAATAACTTATTTATTTAATATTTTATAGATTTTTAGTTATAAATTATTTATATATTTAATTAAATATTTTAAATATTTTTTAATTTATTTATTTTAAAAAAATGGCAATGGTTTCCTTTTAATAAACACCTTCTCATATATTACAAAATTTATAAAAATATAAAAATAAATTTCCAATATACTTTTAATAAAATTATATAGTAGAACTTGTAGTTGTCAAAATTACTATAAAAAAATGATAAAAGAATGTTATATTAGAGAATATAAATTCATTTTTTTAAAAATAAAAAAAATAAAAAAATGTGTGTATTATTCGAAAAGATAGTTTCTTGAATGGAAGATAACAAATGATTTTGAATTTTATGCTTTCAAAATGAAAGGAATTCATTAACATTAATGTCAGATAATGATCATAAATGTTAATAATTTGACATTTTTATAATCGACGTTATGAAATAAGAAAATGTAGTAAATATTAAAAAATTAACTTTTTTTTGCAATAAAACATCGTTTTTTTTCTCCCAAAAAAATCCTTTTATTTGTTTGAAGTATATAAACTTTTTAATCTTAAAATTTTTTCATAATATATTTTCAACAAAAATTGTGTTTTTAATTTTAAAAATATTATTTTTGTTAAAACTATAAAATTCTAAAAAGAAAATTTTTTAATATATTTTAAATAAAAATTGTGTTTTTGTTTTAAACTATATTAAGAAAAAATTTAATGTCTTAATATCTTATAAAAAATTATCATATTTCTAAAATAAATAATGTTGTATATAATTTAAAAATACAATTAAATGAAGGTAAATCGTGCTTTTGTTAGGAGAATCAATTTTTTTCCTTTTGATTTTTAAAATATGAATTCAAATTCAGTTCTTCCAGCAAAGATAACAGAAATATATCTGCTCATTACTGAATTAAATATTTCAAATGCCAATTTTTTAATCTAATTATGATGCCCATTCATCAAAATAAATAGTGAAATCGATGATATGGTAGCAAATTGAAGGTTAGGGACAACTTTTATATATTGTTATTGATAATATATAATAGATTTGCTTATTATTTTTAAGATTCTATCATGAGAAATTGATATATGACTAAAGAAAATTTGCATTTTGTTTGATATGTATGTGTGCACAATAATCTATGTAAATTTATGTGAAAGAACTACTTTGTGTGATGAAATACACATGTAGAGGCCATGTTCAATTGTAATGCCATGATAATCTTTGTAATGTTAAAGATATAAAGAATATATCCAATCTTGTGAGTTGTGATAATATATATATATATACACACACACATAAGTAACTATTAAGTTTTCCATGTCCTTTAAAACAAAAATAATGAACGAACAAAATTACTCAGCAGTGTTAAATTCATTTTATACTTCCACGGGTTATCTCATTTTATGGTTTAAGTACACATTATGTGAATTATATGACAATGAATTGAAACAACCATAAGCCTAGAATTGACTGTGGAGTACTAGTTACTTACATATTTGTAAGACCATAATTATTTAAATCAAAATAAAATTCTCAAGAATTGCGCATTAAATTTTTTTTTGAAATTGTAGATCTTCATTGAAAGAATTAAGTACATGTGCTATTGTCATAAGTTCATATTTTGTTTCATACTTGTACTTGATTAATCTAGAGAAGAATGCATGATTTATAGTAATTTATTTATTTATTGTTTCAATGCTTATATCTTATTGATTAAATATTTTATTTATGTTATGCAAGAAAAAAAACTTATCATTTACTTCAATTTCATTGAAGAAGTTATATGACTCTTGAATAAACATGGAATTAAAAATAAAAAACTATTAACCATGAAAATGAATAAAAGGTAACATATTTTTAAGGGAGGTTTGTAGTCTATGTTACTAAAAGGTTAAAAGGAATCGCGATCTAATCCATTTCATTATTTGACATGTGAACTCATGATTGGCTTATTTTACAAATTTTATTATCAATTAAGAAATAGTTTTCACTACAAATGAATTTATAGCATATATTACTTGTATGACAAAATTTTCTAGTCAAAGGCAGAATAGTGGAAACGGAAGAGTATAGGCTTTCACACCTAAGCCCACTATTTTGATATGAAAAAAAATTTTATATAAAAAAATGTCTTACTTGGTCGGTAGTCATGAGTTTAGCTAAAAAAAAAAAGTTTTGAAGATAACAATGTGACTAATTATTATATTTGAATATGTTTAATTTGATTATTGTGGGCCATAACATATATGATTGCATTGGTAGATATAGTTTGAACTAGATAATTTATGGGTAAAAGAGAATTATCTCTCTTTGTGTGATCTAAATGAAAAATTAAAAGAATAGAACTTGATATAATTAAAAGGTTCATGACAAAAAAATAAAGAAATATAAATAAATTAGTAGAGTAATTTTAACAAAATAATTTTAATAAAATGAATAAAATTTATTTTTATTAAAAAATTTTAATAACATTGATGTTGACACATAGATGACTCAAGATGATAAACTTACCTTGATATTGGAGTTGATATTGATGTAGAGGCTTGTGCTTTCAACTTGAGAAAAGAACCAACTTACGTGAACAAAACATGTGTAATTATATATATTTTAGACTGAAACATAGTGTCCTGAGTGACGCGGTCAAGTACATTATTGCTTGTTTTGTAATTATCATTCAAGTACCAACCATCCGGTTGGAGCCAATCGTTTTTGTTGAAAATTCATTGCTTTGATGCCGGAAATTTGAGCTGCAAGAATACCTATTTGGAGTCCATAATTCCATTTCTCATTCAATTTTGTTAGCTATTTGCTGTTGTGATTTAGAACGGTGTACATTAAATTTTTATTTTGACAAATAGATTTAATGTTTATATTAGTTATTCATGTTTTGAATAATTATATTTTGAACAAAACTATTTGTTTATAATTGTTAAGAATAAAAGAGTTATGATTATTTATAATAATTGATAATGAAAAAATTATAACTATTTAAATATGTTTAAACATTTACCTATAAAAGTTAATAACAAAAGTTATAATTATTATGCTTAAACATTTTTATTTTGTAATAATTATTTTGGAGATCGCTTGACGAATTTACGAACATAAGGTATTACCATTAATATTTTTTGATTATATGTGATTAATCACTTATTAAAATTTATTTTTTTAATAAAATTTTAAAAATTTATTAAAATTTATTAAAAATTTTTTTTGAATATACAAAAACAGTTTAAGCTCAAGAATACAGTTAAACATAGAAAAAAATTAACACCTCCACATTCACATTCACATTCACATTCACATGCACACCTACAGTTCTCTCTAAACCCAGGTCTTATCTTATTAAGCTTAAACACAAGGTATGCTGCATAGTTTGTTCCGGGAGATAATTTTCTAGTCTCAATACTTCCCTTCACATCCAGTCACCAAACTAGCCTGAGCTCAGTAACTTTAGAGAATAAGTGGTGAGCAAAAATTGGTTTGAACCGATTAAACGGATCGAAATCAATTAAATTCAATTGAATCGATTTGATTTATTCGATTTTATTTATAATTAATTTTTTAAATCGATTAAATTAATTAATTCGATCAATTTTTTATTTTTAAAATTAATAATTGAACTGACCGAATTAATCGACTTTCTAATAAGTAAAAGTAAAAAAAATTAAAATAAATATTTTGATTTATTTTTTTTATAAAATATTGTTGAAATTATTAAAATTTTTAGTCATTTAGTTTGAATGATATTTGAGTTTGAATTTTATTAAATTGAATTTATGATTAAATAATTATTCATAATATAAAAAAATTATTAAAAAATTAATTATTTAACTGAACTGAATCGATTTTGATCGATTCGGTTAGAATCAGTTATTTAATAATATTCAATCAATTCGTTTATTTGTTAAATAAAAATCGATTAAATCGATTATTGATTTTTTTAAACCGAACTGACCGAATCGAAACCATCCAAACCATTCTCAATAACCGATATGATAATTGTCACATCTGCCTTTGGGGCCAAATGTTTCCACAATATTCAACTTTACAAATATATTACTTTCAACACAATCTGCCTGCGGGACAAAATATTTAAACATTATTGGAATGTGCATGCCATAACTTTTTCTCCTCAAATACAAAACATTAAATATTCAAATCCTGCAAAGGAATGTTGAACCAAATAGAAAGGAGAAGATGATATTACCTACCAATATTTTTAGGCCTCACCTCAATTCCTTCAATAATGAGGCCACTCTTAGAGTAATTACAGTTGATCTCCCGAAGGCAAAACTCGACTGTCCCATCATCTCCATGTTCATTCAAAAACTCACCCATTTCAATCTCCATCCATCCATCTCCTCTTTCTTGAGCTTGTTGGGGAACATTTTGTGGATAGTCTAGAGACACACTCCTTACTTCCCCTGATGTGGTTCCTTCCATGTTCACATGCACACCTACAGTTCTCTGTCTAAACCCATATCTTCTCCTTCTAAGCTTAAACACAAGGTATGCTGCATAGTTTGTTCCGGGAGATAACTTTCTGGTCTCAATCTTTCCCTTCACATCCAGCCACCAAACTAACCTGAGCTCAGCAACTTCAGAGAACCTGTCAATATGTTGGAGACAGAACCACAATAACTTGAGCTCATCAACAATGTCATTCTGTAAGTCATAGATGTATGCAGATAAGCATAGTTTTTCTTCTGGTAATTGACATTGTTTTTCCTAGCAAACACAGTCGCGTAATCTGTTGATAAAGTACTAAATCGCTGATCAAACCCTGACTGCCACAAATACAATAAAGAAAGACATTGTTTTTCCTAAGCAGCAGTATTGAGTCATGGCCAATTAAGATCTTAACATGAGAATATCATTGAACAAAAAAAAAAAAAAAAGAAGAGAACAAACCTAGATTCTGGGAGAGATGTCCATTTCCAGTACTCAAGTGTCTCTCCCCATATAATTGACAGTGCTCTTGCCCCTAGCATATAGCATTTTTTCCCAGTCTCTTTCTCCAATTGAAAGCTCTACTTAGACACCAGCAACCTTAATTTTTCAGATAAATGCACAAAATGGAGCAAAACAACACGTACTTTAAACCATATAGTACAAATTGTGCATGTTTAGCTTTGAAGAAATTGATCAACTTAGCCATGATTCCTTCTGGTCCAGTATCAAACATGCTCTAGATAATTAAAATTGTTCTGAAAATTAAATTTAAAACATCCTTAAACACATGTTCTTTTAGCACAAAGTTGGAAAAGTGGATACAGGGTCAAATTTGAGCTTACCATGGTACCATTTTCAATGAGAATGGGATGAGAGGAGAGATAAAAATAAATATCCTTCTTTGTCCATGAAAGCAAAGATGGAGATGAGGATCCTGAAATATTTTTCTGATAATCACAAGGTAGAAACCTCTCCCACACAGCATCAGAGTCTGCAATTGATCTCAAGGCAGGAGAAACCAGGGCTAATCGACGTGCGTCTCGAGCCGAAGTCAATGATATGATCAGACACACGCAGTCTTCTGGCAACAGCTTTGTAAAATCCATTGTTCTTATAAATTTTGGATCAGAAATGAAACAAGGAAAAATGGCTTTTCGACTGTTGTCTGCTGGAGACGGCTTGTCTAGGTTTGGTTAAGAAAATTTTCACTTATATCCTTCGTTGTTAAGTTTCGTTCACTACTAGAATTCAATAATTATTTCAATTATTTATACTTTATTATAATTATTTAAATTATAAATTTTTTATTTTATGTCAATAAAATCTTAAATTTTTAATTTTATTTTAATTTGAATCCTCGAATAAATGAAAATAAAGGTTAAAGATTAATCACTTTTTGTTTAATAAAAATTTAATTGATAAAAATAAGTATTAAAAATTTAATTGTTTCTAATAAAATAATAAAAATTTAAGTGATTATTAAATTTTTATCCTCTAACCTAAATAAAATTAAATAATTTATTTATCTTTAATTTTTGTTAAAAAAAGTTTTGTGGGAAGTAAATGTTTTAGTTTTTTTTTTTTTTACAATTAATGATAGATTCTCAATCTTTTCCTCTATTTTTCTCTCTATTTTACAATTAATGATAAATTAATAAAATTTAATTTGAATAAAATTTAAATTTGATTCGATTATTATTAAGTTAAGCACATATTTAAATAACTCTATTTATCGATTGAGTTGAGTTCGAGCACTTTTATATTTAATTTGAGTAATTCATGAATTTAATTAAATTTTTATATTTTAATATATTTTAATTATTTTAATTAATAACATATTTTGAATTCGAACTCAAGCTCAAACATAAATATTTGAGTTTTTATTGAATATAAAAATTAAATTTATTTTTATATATTAATTAAACTTAATTGAATAAACTTAAATAACTCAATTTTTATTTTAAATTAAATTTAAATTAAAAATAAAATTCAATCAAATTTAAATTAATTTTTAAAATCAAAATCAAATTTAAATTTAACACTATATTAATTCAAACTTTATCGATTATACTTTTAATTAAGATTTTGATTCCATTGTTACTGTTGGAGCGAGTCGCTCAATAGAAATTTGGAATTGTCTGATAAAGCTTAAAGACGAAGCTTTTTTTTGTCTTTGTGCTTTGACTGGTTTATTAACTCAACCTGCATTTAATGCTATACCTTAAATGGTTGATTTTTAGGTTTAAAAAAATATAAAAAAAACGATATTAAAGAGAATAAGTAATTTATGAGGTTTATTAAGTTTAAAAAATATAAAATTTTTGTGTTTAGTTAAAAATTATTTAATAAAACATTTTATTATATTGTTTTTGATAATATATGAATAAAAATATAAAAATAACTTATTTATTTAATATTTTATAGGATTTTTAGTTATAAATTATTTATATATTTAATTAAATATTTTATATATTTTTTAATTTATTTATTTAAAAAAAATGGCAATGGTTTCCTTTTAATAAACACCTTCTCATATATTACAAAATTTATAAAAATATAAAAATAAATTTCCAATATATTTTTAATAAAATTATATAGTAGAACTTGTAGTTGTCAAAATTACTATAAAAAAATGATAAAAAAATGTTATATTAGAGAATATAAATTCATTTTTTTTTTAAATTAAAAAAATAAAAAAATGTGTGAATTACTTGAAAAGATAGTTTCTTGAATGGAAGATAACAAATGATTTTGAATTTTATGCTTTCAAAATGAAAGGAATTCATTAACATTAATGTCAGATATTAAAAATTAACTTTTTTTTGCAATAAAACATCGTTTTTTCTCCCAAAAAAATCCTTTTTTGTTGTTTGAAGTGTATAAACCTTTTAATCTTAAATTTTTTTCTTAATATATTTTCAACAAAAATTATATTTTTAATTTTAAAATTATTATTTTTGTTAAAACTATAAAATTCTAAAAAGAAATTTTTTTAATATATTTTAAACAGAAATCGTGTTTTTAAAATTAAAAACGTGATTTTAGAATATATCAAAAAAAATTATTTAATAATATCTTATAAAAATTTATCATATTTCTAAAATAAATAATTTTGTATATAATTTAAAAATACAATTAAATGAAGATAAAGCGAAAATATTTTTAATTCCAATGAGATTAAAAATTCAAAGCAAAAGGTTAAGGATTGATATTTCTTATTACAACTTGTTTTCAATTTGAAAATGTATAAGAGAGACTAAAGCAAGATAAAACTATAACAAAGTTTAATTAGCTATAATATCAAAGCCATTAGTACTTTTATCAAGTCTTCCTTCTCTTATTCCACCTCCAGCAACCCTAGCTTTACCATTTCCACCACCTCATCCTCCCCTGCGCCACCAGCAGCACCAATGCCGCCACTTCCACCGTTATTTCCACCAAGCCCAATCCTTCAACTGCTCCACCTCCACCACTACCTCTTGCTCCACCAAGAATACCATCACTTTTTAATCAGCTTCCTGCTCCACCTCCTAGGCCTCCACTACCACCACCAAAACCTCCATCTGTACCGAGGCAGCCTAAACCACCACCAACACCTCTACAATTTTGTAAAGCATGAAGGGCAAGTAGTCCAAGTTTAAGTATTAAAGACCTCCTGTCTCCTTCTTGTCCTTGAGGAAAAATGAACGATGATGCAAACTCTTGTCATCTCCATTAACATCCTGATCAGCGACTGCAACACCATCCACGAGAATAACACACAAGAAAGCAACCACAAAAAAAATAAAAATAAAAAGAGCAAAAACAAGCATCACCATCTAAAAGTTTAAGCAAAAGCTTACTCAGAATAGTGAAATTGTAATGTTAAACAATATGGAATTACATTTTTTTTTCCTAAAAAACTACGAATATTTTTCAAACTTTTCGAATTTTTCTTCCTTTTCTTCTTCCTTTTCGTTTTTATTTGCTGGTTAGCTTGTCAAAAAATAAAGAAAGAGTTTATATTTAAAGGAATATCAATGTATAAATTTTACACCATAAAATAAATAAAATCACATCATCAATAAATAAATATTGATCTTTAAAATAAATATACAAAAATAATATTTTTTTAAAAATTTACTCATTAACGAAATAATATTATCTGATTTTATTGATAATATATTAAATTTATATATCAATAATACATCAAATATAAACTCATATGAAATTTATACTTAAAAGAGGGTTGGATTTGCATAAAAAATCAAACTAAATGGCTAAGCTTAAAGTGAGGGAGTAAAAATCGTCGCACCATTCACTAAAAATCGTTGCATCATTCACTCAAAAAAAGGAATTATATTATAAACCATTCAACTTGTTAACCGAATTTGTTCCCCCTTTCTTCAAGACAATCAAACAAACAATTACATTATTTTTCAGTACTCCCAATTTTGATTCTGTCATGAAAATGATAAAAAAAAAAACGTGGATTGTACATGTTAAATAAAGCATGCATGGTTTAGCTGGTTCAACCAAGCCAAAGCAATATCAACAATGGCAACATCCATCCCAAACAAATCTTCATCCAACGCTACCCGACCACCTCAGGCAGTAAAATTTGCCCGCAGGACATCAAGCGGTCGAGTTATGAGCTTATCCAGGGACGATGACATAGACATCTCCGGAGACCTATCAAACCAAAATGACTATATCAATTACACAGTTCTTATGCCACCAACACCTGATAACCAGCCAGGGTCAGAGCCCTCTTCAGACTCTAAACCTGAGGGGCAACAAGGCACATATGGGACATCTCGGTTCACCTCAGACTCACAACGTATGAGAAGTCGAGGAGGGGAAGAGGAAGGTGGCGTGAATGAGCCTGGAATGGGGGCGAAATTAGATAGAAGGATATCAGTAATGAAGTCAGCAGACAATAAGTCCATGTTGTTAAGGAGCCAGACGGGGGATTTTGATCATAATCGTTGGCTGTTTGAGTCAAAAGCAAGGTATGGGATTGGAAATGCGTTTTGGCAAGAGGATGATGGGGATCAATACGGAACAGATGGTGGAGTCACAATGTCGGATTTCATGGACAAGCCATGGAAGCCACTCACTAGGAAGGTTAAGGTTCCGCCTGGAATCCTTAGCCCTTACAGGTGCACAACCTGGACATCCATCTACATATTTAAAAACTGTTTCTGAATTGAATTTTATTGACAAATCAGTAGTATCGAAAATTCTATGTAATTTTCTTATGTTGAGTTATTGACTGGCCTAAAATTAAATTAAAAACTAAAAAAAAAGTTAAATAAGTGAAATAATATCTCATAGTAACTTTTTATTGGAGTAATGAGATCATAGTCATAATATTTTTATAAATTTAGAACTTTTAAATTTAACATAAAAAACCTTTTAATAATATAATTTATTGAAAGTATAGAGTTTACATAATATTGTAATATTTAGTATATTAATTGTTAAAATGACAATCTCTATATATAAAAAACAGGTTGTTGATAGTGATACGTTTGGTAGCTCTATTTCTTTTCCTTGCTTGGCGTTGGAGAAACCCAAATCCTGATGCAGTGTGGCTCTGGGGAATTTCCATTGTTTGTGAGTGTTGGTTTGCCTTTTCTTGGCTGCTAGACATCCTTCCCAAGCTCAATCCTATCAACCGAGCCACTGACCTTGCTGCCCTCCATGACAAGTTCGAGCAGCCTTCTCCCTCCAACCCAACTGGCCACTCGGACCTTCCTGGCGTCGACGTCTTCGTCTCTACCGCTGACCCTGAGAAGGAACCTCCCCTTGTGACTGCCAACACCATTTTATCCATCCTGTCTGCTAACTATCCTGTGGAAAAACTCTCTTGCTATATTTCAGATGATGGTGGTGCCATACTCACATTTGAGGCCATGGCCGAGGCAGTTCGTTTTGCTGAGGTTGATTGTTTACAACTTTTATGTCACCTTTTTTCCAACGGTGAAACCTTTTTATGTCTGTTTTTAATTTGATCAGTTGCTTAATGGATTTTTTTTTGTCTAAATTATATACAAGCAGGTGTGGGTGCCATTTTGCCGAAAACATGACATTGAACCGAGGAATCCAGACAGCTACTTCAACTTGAAAACTGATCCAACCAAGAATAAGAAACGGCCTGATTTCGTGAAGGATCGTCGCTGGATCAAGAGAGAGTACGATGAGTTCAAGGTAAGGATCAATGGTCTCCCTGAGGTAATACGTAAACGGAGTGAAATGTACAACTCAAGGGAGGCAACGAAGGAGAAAAGGCTTGCCAAAGAGAAGAATGGTGGCTCACTGCCACCAGATTTCAAGGTCGAGAAGGCCACCTGGATGGCCGATGGAACGCACTGGCCTGGGACATGGTTCAATCCAATTGCTGACCATTCCAAGGGAGACCATGCTGGAATCTTGCAGGTAATCACTCAGAATAAAATTTTTTCCCTGAAATTTTGTGGTTCCTTTTTTTTTTTCAATCAAACTAATGAAACCCAGTTTTGAGAAAACATTTCTTTTTTGAGGATTATTGAATTTTGAACTATATCAACCTGAATTCTGGAATTTGTCATAGGTGATGAGTAAAGTCCCAGATTATGAACTAGTGATGGGTCACCCGGATGAGAAAAAGTTAGACTTCACAGGGGTAGACATCAGGATACCAATGTTCTCGTACGTTTCAAGAGAGAAGCGGCCAGGTTTTGACCACAACAAGAAGGCTGGAGCCATGAATGGATTGGTTAGAGCTTCAGCAATATTGTCCAATGGACCATTTATCCTGAATTTGGATTGTGACCATTACATATATAATTCTCTAGCCATTAAGGAAGGAATGTGCTTCATGATGGATCGTGGCGGTGACCGTATTTGTTACATTCAGTTTCCACAGAGATTTGAAGGGATTGATCCATCAGACCGATATGCAAATCATAACACTGTCTTCTTTGATGGTAATGTTCAGAATTTTTATCTGTTATTCTTATCCTTTTCTTGCTGTACAGAAAAATAGAAGACATTATATAGTTTAATACTTTGTCTTGTCCTCTTTAAACTTATGATTACTCAATTTAGTGTTCTTCTTACTGAAATTTGACATTGTTTTGGTCACAACAGGAAGCATGAGAGCGCTTGATGGTCTTCAAGGCCCGGTGTATGTAGGAACTGGGTGCATGTTCCGACGTTATGCACTCTATGGATTCCACCCACCAAGGGCAAATGAGTATTTAGGCATGTTTGGGCAAATCAAGGCTCCAGCTCCAAGTGTTCCAAATAAGCCACAGTCTGAAGAAGATGAATCGCAGCTCTTAAATGTGCATCCTGACCTGGACCTTCCACGGAAGTTTGGTAATTCAACCATGTTCATAGAAAGCATAGCCGTGGCTGAGTTCCAAGGACGTCCCCTTGCTGATCATGCTTCCGTGAAGAATGGTCGACCTCCAGGTGCATTGCTCGCTCCACGCCCACCACTTGATGCACCTACTGTCGCTGAGGCAGTTGCTGTCATTTCCTGCTGGTACGCCCGTGCTCTCTTGATTCTGCATATGTACTTCGTATGAAAGCTTGAAAACATTTTTCCTTCATTTTCATAGAAGAAAGTTATATAATTGTTTACATTGTAATCAGGTATGAAGATAAGACCGAATGGGGAGAGAAAGTAGGTTGGATTTATGGCTCTGTGACAGAGGATGTGGTGACAGGCTACAGGATGCACAATCGTGGATGGCGGTCTATATACTGTGTTACAAAGCGTGATGCATTTAGAGGAACTGCGCCAATCAACCTCACTGACCGCCTTCACCAGGTCCTGAGATGGGCTACTGGTTCAGTGGAAATCTTCTTCTCTAGAAACAATCCTTTGCTTGCAACTCGGCGCCTCAAGTTCCTACAACGCATTGCATATCTTAATGTTGGCTTCTATCCATTCACCTCTATCTTCTTGGTTGTTTACTGCTTCCTCCCAGCTCTTTCTCTCTTCTCAGGGCAGTTCATTGTCCAGGGCCTAAATGTAGCATTCCTTTTTTACCTACTCATCATCACTTTAACACTCACCCTCATTTCCCTTCTAGAAGTGAAGTGGTCTGGCATTGGCCTTGAGGAGTGGTGGCGGAATGAACAATTCTGGGTCATTGGTGGCACAAGTGCCCACCTGGTGGCTGTCATCCAGGGTCTCCTAAAAGTAGTAGCTGGCATTGAGATCTCTTTCACGTTAACCTCAAAATCAGCCGGCGAAGATGAGGATGACATTTATGCCGATCTTTATCTTGTCAAATGGACCAGCCTCTTCATAATGCCACTGACGATCATAATTGTTAACCTCGTGGCAGTAGTGATTGGGTTCTCAAGAACTATATACAGTGTCATACCACAGTGGAATAAACTGTTCGGAGGGCTATTCTTCAGCTTTTGGGTGTTATGCCACATGTACCCTTTTGCCAAGGGATTGATGGGGAGAAGAGGAAGGGTGCCCACAATCGTATATGTTTGGTCAGGTCTTGTGTCAATTACTGTATCTTTGCTTTGGATATCAATCAGTCCTCCAGATGGAAATACTAGCAGCTCTGCTGGTGGTGGAAGTGTTCAAGTATAAGGACTGAAAACTTTCTGGATTTGTCACATGTAACCTTAGCAAATATAATTGCTTGGAAGATGCACTTGAGAACCAGCAGGCATCAACCATTCAAGTATGGAACAAGATTTCCCCTGCTGCTCAAGTTAGTAGAATCCTGGGAGAAAACATCTGAGAAGTGAAAATTACCCTGCCTTGTTTGTTCATATCTTTCTTTTTTTTCTACCAAAAGAATGTACATGATAACTGACTATATTTTTGCACATAGAAGCTTAGTAGGAAATACTATATAGTTTTGTATGTGAAGGACAAAGAATACCAGTGTATTTCACATTGTAAAGGAAATTAGCATCTACAGTTACAGATTGCTTGATATGGAAATTCATCATAGCAGAAATTCACGCATTCGAACCGGTCTCTTGACAGCATTTGTGAAACCCTGCATGCACAAGAAAAGCCAAAACAAAACAGTACATCATCTAGTCCTCAGATAGCCCTGCAAGAGCATGAAACTCTGGAAATTGAGGACCATCAGGCATCAACCATTCCAAATATAGTTGGAGCTTTATACATCTTAAATTGCAAGAACCAAAATTTAAAATGTATCAAGTATTTAGTTGGGAACTGGCAACGAAATTTTTGGTATATTGAAGGTTGAGAAGTCAAGTCAGTAGAATTCATACATAGTATTATACATTTGGCACTGCCACATATATCCCACATTGGAGAGACTCTGTAAGAACAGGAGCAAGGGATTTTAAACGAGGTCAGAAACTTGGTAGGTTATTTTAACTTGTAGTTCATTTAATAGCAGTTAAATTAACTTTCCAATGCCTTTTATTTATTGAAAAAATTAAAAAAAAAAGCTTGTGAATTTTTCACCTTGTGGCAAGTCACTTAATGTACGATAAAGAATAACAGGAGACTTAGCTTACAGATGAGAAGCTAAGAAGAAAAGAGCAAAAAGAAAGCCGGGAGAAGAGTGAAAATTGACTTGAAACATTCTGCTATATGCCTACATGCTTATAGCCCTGAAATTGTTGATGAAAAGGTAGAAACATAATGTCGTTAACCAAAGGAAAAATGGGAATGCAACACAAGACTTTGTAAATCAACCCATTCAGCGTAATCAGTGAGTTAGCGACCCTATCATTTTAATGCAACATTCATGACATGACCACTCAACCAGGTATTCTACCAGTCATTAACTCATTATGTACATAGTATAAAGATGCGCATAATTTACCTCTTGATTTTGATAAAAGGAAGCTCAATGATGAGGAAATTACCTCATTAAATTTATATAACACAGGGCGCAAATCTCTTTCCAATGTCACTTCCTTCACTGCAGCAATTTCAGAATCCTGAGAACCTTTGCTGGTTGGATTTCTAAACCTGGATTATAATTAACAGAAATTATCAGCAAATGAAAAAGATATATACAGGCTGTAATTAATGATTCTGGTATGATCTACTTATTATTTTTATAAACCAGATGAGGTTTCCTCATCAACTGGAACTGAACCTACATTTGCAGCAGTTATGACATGACCAAAGGAAATATAATTGATTACTCTACAAGCACAAAATGCCGACATAATAGTCCTATACTGACACCAACAGCTATATACAACTGCACGCAAAGGGAGGGGGAGAAAACAGATAAAGAAACCAGGGAATTTGCTGAGAGTTTAGAAACAGTGTCTGAAGCAGAAATGTAAAGGGTGATATAGAGATCAACAAGAGTAACCTTCAAATAGATGTTGACTTCTGCTTAACACCAATACTCAATCATCTAGAAAATAAATGCTTGGAAGTCTAATGGCATTAAAGGATGGGTCATATTTCATAAGGAACCAAACATAGCAAAGAAATAGCAATAATATGAAGTTCAAATAAATTGGACGAATTATCACTCACATGAGCCAGGTTTTTATTCTCAAACTTTTACCAAGTTAAACATAGCAATAACGAAAAGAATAAAGGAATAGCATATTATAAATGAAAATTAAAAGAATAAACAAAGTGATCACCTTTCAAAAAAATTGAAACCACTAGTTGGCTTCCTGGTATCTGCAGTGGATTTTTGCTTTGCCCCAGCAGTGGCACTTCTGCTAGAAACCAAAGATGATGAAATCGTAGAGGTACTTGAATTACCTTGCCTTGTATTGGATATATTCTTCACATTTTCGTAGTTCTTTGTGCCTGCACCTGCATTCTCACCGATCATTTTAGCAGATTTTGCTCCACTAGCTTCTTTCCCAATGAAGTCCTGGTCTCCATTGCTGCATTTATCACTTCTATGCACAGATTTTCCAGTGCTTACTTGCAAAATCTTTTGCTTCTCGACCTGAAATCAGAATAAATTGTGAAAACATTTGCAACTCACAACACAATATAACAATTACTTTTCTAATTAAATTTCCTTTCAAAAATAAAAAGGAAAAAGAAGTTGAAGACTATAACATGCCACTCACCTGACAAAAGATAATTTGAGCAAAGGAAAAACATGAAGTTAAACAAAAAGTTTATACTAATAGCTAAAAGCTCAAAACCTATCCGAGTATAAAAAAAAATATTTAAAAGAACAACTTAAAATGCAAGGGAATAATGGACTTTTTTCTAAACTATAAATTGACCAATTCTACACTTCTTGCCGTGGTTTTAAAAGAAGCAAAATTGTAACTAAGGCAGGTCTAGAATGGAAGTAGGGAACTGGAAAAATGCAACCAAATGCTCAAAATTTTAAGTCAGTGAAAAATGGCACCAAAGACTGGTTCCAACACATAAAATATCATTATGAATTGCGGAAGTTTGCATGCCACTGAAATAGTAAAATTTGATCTTCTTTACTTCTTAACTCATTTATTATGTGCAAGTCCATAATTTTTCTCATTGTAACAGAGAGTTTAGAGCAGGGAGCCTCGCCAAAAAAAAACAAAGCTTCAAAGTTGTCAAAACTGCAACATCAGTATTCTGTCAAATGGCTGTCTTTACAACACATTCATGTTTCATTAGCCTGATTAGGAAAAATAAATATACTGAAACATGTCCATCCTATATAGAACATCAAAATTTTAAGATATTAAATAAAATCTTACAACAATTTAAGGAAAAGATTTGGCAACAGCACTGAGAACTTCAGGGACATGCATGACACCAAAATAACAAAACAATATTTTTTTTTTATATATGTACCCTAATTTTGTTGCTTCTTTCGGAATGAATTTCTTGTTACATGCCCTAAACATCTCACCAATAATAGAACCGAAAAAGTTACCCTCTAGCTCAATTATTTGAGGATCACACTCCTTATTTAGCTAAGGCAATCTCAAAAATTGGCAAACATAAATTTCTGGGATTATCTAAAGTAATATAAAATATTACTGAGATTAAAAGAGATAGTAAATTGTTACAATCTAATGAGAACTAAAGTAGTCTATTACAATTTTCTTTCCTTAAAGCCAACTTTATCACCAATAACAGCCATCAAGCTATATGCCAACAAAAGATAGGCATCAGTGAACAATCAAATACCAAATCTTAATAATAGAGCAGACAAATATACAGCAGACTATCAAGAAACTACATTACATACCTCATGCAATAAAACCTGCTTCATAGCTAAGGCAAGTACATGATGATCTGATCTGTAGTCCTGCTTATGTCAGAAAGATAGATATTCAATAGGAATCATGAAATAATGAATAAATTACTTGCAATTAAACATAAAGCACAACTTGAAACCTTGTATGAAATAAACTCGCCGATGGGGGGTTCAAAAGAGAGCACTGAGGCATCTAAAACTTCTTTATGTCCCAGGTTACTGGACAGAGAATCAGACTTCATGTTCTTATAGGTTATAGAATAGGACACCATCACATTAACCAATTGAGCCAAACTATTCTTCTCAGTTTCTGATAATAAGTGCAACGCCACCTGTTGAAGCCACATGAGAAGCCACAGATATGAGAAGATGGAAGAACTGCTATGTTTTTTTAATAAGAGAACAGAATTAAAAAGAGACATGCAACCAGAGAGAGGAGAGGGTGAACAACAACAGTAACAGTAGGCACCTATGTCCTGATTAATGCATGCCAATTAATATCAATCAAGTCAATATAAACAATTAATAGTGTCAGTAGTATGTATCTGTACGTATAAGAGTTGCCTCAAGCATTATGAGCACAGCTAGAAACACATAGTAAACAACCAAAAGACTAAATAATGGCTACCTTTCAGAAACCTTGACTCAATAGCTCATAACTAGCACAAGGAGCTTACCATCTAAAGAAAAAATATGGCAACATTGTTCATAACATCATTCCTTGTGATCAGATATACCTTTCCTCATCTACACTCTCAGAGTTAATGAAGGCCATAAATTAATTCCTTCTTTGAAGGTTGATATACTAAATATGACAAAACCATTGATAAACTTAAGGGGCCAAAAATTACTTAGGACTCTTAATGATCTTTTGTTAGACATACATTATTGTTTTGCTCAAAACAAATAAAACTTGCATGGGAATTGTATACTCAACCTTGGGGATGATACCTTTCCAAAAGCCTACACCTATTTGATTGCAACTAGCCCTGCCCAAAGATTAGCTTCTTGCTTACCTGGCAAGCAATACTCCTTCTAAGCACTCTTTAATAACAGTGGGAACTTAAAATTTAATAATCTTTAAATGCTACTTCAACTCAAAGTATGAGTCAAGCTCCAATGTACATAATTATTAAAGTTCCAAACGAGATGCAGTTTAGTATTTATACTGTTTCCTTATAACTCAGGTGCAAGATTCATGTGCAGAGTATCATTGATCATAAATGTGCAAACTATTTTCCCAGTGTTCAATGAAAAGTAGTCTCCAACTAACAAATAATGGCTCAGCTAACCCATTAAAAGGAATAAAAATATATCAAATGCAAGTGATAAACATGTTTTGAAGTAAAAAAAAAAAGACATAAACCATAGGATGCTTTATGTTTGCATGCTTCAAGGACTTGATAAATATACACGAAACCGAAAGAAAGAAATTGAAGCCAAAAAAGGTAAAAATAAGAATTAAATCAATTTAAATCAATTACCGGTCTCAAGTTTGGTGGTGACAAGATATGCAACAAGGGAGAAATCAAGTCCTCTATACAAGACTTTGTCGATAAATGTCTTGAAATGTACGGTGGAATTTTCTGGTGCCAAGACCTTAGAATATCTGCCTTCTCCATTAGCATTGTCCGGTATCTGAAGAATTGTACCCAGTATAAAACTATGAGACTGTTAGTTCTCCATGTTTGACATTGAGCTCTACAGAACTCAGGCATGGAGTAGAGTTTACCTTTGATATGACTTTGGCCACTCAATAGTTGGCTTTTGGACTTGGGCAACTATCCGATGCAAAGTAATTGCGACAGAAGGCTGATAAACTGCAGTGAAAGATAAAATCAGATGAGTGTTTAGAAGAAGATAACATCAAAATGGTGAATAAACATTGCAGGAAGTCGAAGGTAGGTACTGCATATATTGACCTTGAAGGGGCATTTGCTGTGTCCGTATAACATAGTGTTGCATCAGATCAGAGATGCCAAGAGAATTTAAGCATTTGACCTTCAAATAACCAGAGTATATGGTAAAGATTTCATCGTAAAAACAGAACAAGGTGGTGCACAAAATTGTATAGCCATATGAATAGGCCAACTACAAATAAAGGTGAGCAAGCCTTACTGTCTTTTGCATCACAGGATCATGATACTGGAGTTGCAAAAGATTTTCATGGATCCCATCCAAAATTACATCATAATCACCACTGCATAGTCATTGATAACTTAAACTTAGAGGCAATAGATTCAAAACAACAAAAAAAAAAAAGGCATTCTCATCCACTCAAGGATCAGATCACACCATTTGGAGGCAAAAAGGAAATAAAAAATAATAAAACCTAAAAAGAATTGTAATACAAGACATCCAGAGGCTTCTAATACTTACCGGTTGGATATGAGGGAGTGTAGAAAGTCAAATTCACCATAGCCACTTCCAGAGCTGCTATTAGATTTTCTGTCCTGCTTCATTTTTCTTTTTTGAAAAATCTGGAGGACAGCATCCTCAAATATAAAAATGCTTGGAAGGATAATCAACCAAAACAATTTCAAAGGAATTCACTACCATACCTCTTTCCATATATCAAAAGCACTTTTTGAGATATCCTTTCGGCCAACCACTTGTGAACTGATCTCCATCTGGAAAGAGCAAACCATGCTTATCATTACTCAATTGACCAAAATAAATATGCCCATCTTTTAAAATTTTGAAAATTGAAAAAGAAGAAAATGAATTAGAATAAAAAAAATAGCTGCAATCATTTACTGTTGAAAGAATAGAATAAGGGAAGAAGAGAGCAGTCAATCAAAAAAAAAGTTGTAAGTTCCTTTTCACAATTGATTAAACCCCTAATACAACCAATTAGATTGAACCCAAAAAAGCAGTTAAAAAATCTTATCTAAACTACTTGAGGGGTTAAGGTTATCAAGCAAGCTTGCACAGGGAAGAGATAACACATTTTCATTCATCTAACAATATATACATAAAAATATATATAAATATTTGCAGCAAAGCTATAGTGGTATATCTTCAAATGCTTTTGTAACTACATTAATCGATTAGCTTCGTCTTACAGATCTCAACGGATTGAAATTCTAGAATTAGATGAAGACAGGGTCAATGAATACCTCTGAACCTCCTTTAAAACAAATTTGATGGGTAGAAAATTATTCAATTTTGGCCTCGATTACACCTTTTAACACACTTACCAGGCATCAAATTACACTTGAAACTAAAACATTGTGAATTGGTACAGCAGAAAAATCCATTTTCTTAATTCTTCTGATAAGGAAAGTCTAAAGGATAATTCTATCTTAGCAGGCAGCATCTTTCACCAAATCTTAAACCTTTAACCTTTTTTTGAAATTACTAAGATTAGCCAAACCCCTCCCTGTTACCGTGCTACATTTCATAATGAATGTAGTCAAAACCATCAGTGACATAAAGGTCCTACCACATTGAGGGCTTCCTTCTTCTTGTTGAGAAACTGGAGGGTATTCAAGCATGACCTTATATCACATTCTGTAAAAATTTAACAAAAAGGAATGAATATAAGTACAATGAAAAAAGGGCAGGAAGAAGTACAACTAAAATAGTTCGTATTGAGGACCAAATATAAACGATCATATTGTAAGAGGGATTAGACTACAAAAAACAAGGACCCAGATAGAACCAACATAAACAAGAGAACAAGCAATTTAGAGCTAAAGAAGCTTTAGTAATAAGATGAATTTCATGACTGGTGGAACTAAATAAACAACCTGTCAATAACAGACATCAAAACTCACCAGTGAACTCCGCTAGTGCAGTAAGAGCAATGGAACTTGTTTTCATTCCCTCCTTGCTACAAATATACTTGAGCCTGTGAATAAACATTATTAGAAAATCAGGTTAACAAATTCATTTTTCTTACTCGTTACAAATATATTTTGCACCCCACTGTCAAGTTGCATTGGAAATTAAAAATAGCCAATACAATTATGTTAACATGTTTTATGGACAGCTATGTAATTGTTGGATATGAGAACATCAGAAGCAACTTGAAGCATTACAACTAATAATATTGCAGATGAATCACCTGCTTACTATGCGACTCACTGTTGGCTGGACAAATATATGAACCCTGTAAAAAATATTTGGTATCGTCAGGATTAGTTGCATGCACCTCAAAACTCCACTGATGAAGGCAAAAAGGGGAAACTTCCATGGCATATTACACATACTTGGAAAGAGAGTTTGTGTAAAACCACTAACAAGAACAATGCAAAACAAAAAAGCATAAGCAACCAAGACTAATTCATCTAAAAGCTGGTATCACAATCACTAGTATTACCATTAAACAAGAAGAAAAAAAGGGAAAAAGAGATTATGGAAAGAGACTCGTCATATAAATTCAGGCAAAAGAAATAAAGAACATAGTAACACTTGCCCAGTAATCATTCAAATAACCAATACCATCAACACCAATTTGAAATCACCAACACTTTATTACTGTTGACAGCAAAAAGAACTTACTTTGCTACCTGACGCAATGGTCTTAAGGCAGGTGCATAGAGATCATTACATATGCAAATCACCTACATAGATGGCCCACAAATTTAGTGACAACTACCGAAAATATTTTTGAATAGATCACATTTGACATATCAAACTCACAGGTCTTGATAGGGATGTAATTTTACGTCCCTTTTTGTTAGCATTATTTTCCTTCCCAGAATCAGACTTCTTTTCAGCAGACACCTGAATTTAGTAATTGTATAATTGATACACTGTACAGAAAAAACTATAAAGCTAAAATAAATGACATATCCAAATTTGAATCCTTAATGCAGAAGTCAGGGAGACACAAAGGTAACTCAAACTACAGATAACCATAGAATACTTATAAAGCAGCAAAGCAGCTAATCACCACCTCAAAAGAGTAATAAAATTAAGTAAAACTTATGACTAGCTATGTCGTTGACCAAGATTAGATAACCACCAACCCATTTCCTTGTAAGTTGTGTAAAATTTTGGTTACAAATGTGCTAAAGGCTAATAGAATTAGAGTGATATACTTGTAACACACTAATTTAAGCAAAGATTATCCTATAGCCGGTGCTAATTTAGACAGCACTAACAAAGTTTACACGTTTGGAAATTCTTAAGAGAGAATATTTTGGCATTTTCTTTTGAGTGACTGAAAGTAAGTTTTATAAATTGATTGAAGGTAAGCTTTCTTCCTCCCCACAACGTTCTAATGTTCCAACCACCGTGCAGAAAACAAAATAAAACACCAAAATCCTCACTGAAAGAGGGAATGCAAAGTAAAGTAGATAGGGAAGATTATTTGAGTATGTTCTGGTGACTAGATGCATGATCCAAATGTGCTTCACAAAACCACAGGACATCAACAATGGGAACCATGTCATACCATCTTCAAGATAACCTCCACAGCACCCTTCCCATCACCAAGAGCTCCATCTATTTCATCAATAACCTACAAACAACTCAACTCAACAAGCTTTTGTTTGGGCCCATTTTGCATAAAAAAAGGTTGTGAGACTTTAAACAAAAATAATATAATTAATAACCAACCAAACATTTGGGTCTCGCGTCAGCCATGACAGAGTTCATCTGAACCACATCAAGGATTTTAGCTTCAATTGTTGATGATGACCGATCATCGCTAGCATTAACCTACACAGAACTCTTATCAAATACTTCAAAAGATTTGTGCAGAAGTTTGAGCTGGTACAGAAGTAAAGCTCCAAAACGCAGATTCTAAAATAAATAAAGTTATGTCCTAAACATATGCAAAAAGTAAAAGAATCAGGTAAAAATAACAAGATAGACCTATCAATTATAAAATCATTTTTAGCCAATTAAATTCACAAAAATACTTCCTCTATGCCAAAGCAAATCATATTGAATGCACAGTAACAGACAGACAAATCAGAAACTGTGCAATGCAACGGTTGAAGGCAAAGATATTGTAGCTAATAGCCTGCAATTCTGATGAATCTATGGGATCTTGCATGAGTAAAACGTAAACACAAAAGACCTCCACAACACGGTATCCACAATGCTGTGCAGCTACATGCGCTAGCGTGGTCTTTCCAAGCCCTGGGGGACCACAAAGTAAAAGAATCTGCAATCACAATTAGATTCAATTAATGAAGGATTTCAAACTTAAAAGTTGATGATGAAGAGCACTAAAAGTAAAAGATTCTGAAGCAAATTTCAAACAATTTCTAATCTACTAGAAATGCATTTGCTTGTATTTTTTATGTCATCAACCAAGTGAAACGCATAAGATTTGTCAACTAGTAGCTAGAGATCTTAGACAGTTATCTTAAACCTATCCTTCACAACTTATTTAAGTGCACCAAACAAGATAAGCAATGGATGAGGCATTCATAGTAAAAATCATATTGCATAAGCAATGATTTGCATATTAACATATCAAAAACATTCAAAATTAAATATCTACTAAGTTGAAAGACTAGAATTTTTTTTCAACTGACATCAAGAGACATTAAGGACAATAGACAGCAAACTAGACCAGAGTTACCAGGAACAGATCAATTTGCCTAGGATACATAAGAACAGTAAACTGCTCTTTGTAGAACGTGGTCAGATAGAGCAGTCTTCTCTGGTGATATTTCTAAGGTCCAATTTTGGGCCAAATTGAAATGATTTTCTAACTCCTCAACTTTCTGAAGGAAATGCATTAACAGAAAGGCATGCAATCTAACATGAGATACAAAGTAAAGCAGATGAATCAACCAAAACAAAATTCTCTCAAATATACCATTGCTTACCTTCTGTTCTGGTGGACCAGTGACCCTTGACTTTTTGTTCCACAAGTCCTGCATACCTTTTAAATTATTGGTCCCATGACCCACGTTATTAATGGGTCTGTAGCTTCCGTTACTCCATCTATGTCCTCTACTTTTTCTTGAAAAATTAGAATCAAAAGATTTTTGATGTTGAGTAGAATGTCGTCTGAGAGCTGACAAAACCTCATCTGAGGTACTCCTAATTTCAGATCCAAAAACACAGGAATCCCATTGTTTTAACCACAATAGGACCTGCAGTAAGACCAGCATCAGAACTTGATGATCACTAATGATATAGCTCAGAAGAAAAAAAAAGGCTTGAAATTATTATCATCTTTCTGAACCATTTGTTTATGTACCTCACGATTTGTCTGTTCATCACTAAGAAGCTCAGTGAATGAACTTGGAGCATATTTGTCTACCCAAAGTTGTTCATGAACCATCGGTGTGTCAGGAAGAGTTATATCACTCAGATGTTCAGAACTTGCTTGCAAGGCCTTCAACACCCAATTAATGAATTGTCAGAAATATTACTTTCAAGGAAAAATTACAAGACCATAGGTAACCATCATTGATAGAGCCAAGGACTCAAATTCAATTTACTTAAGCACTATCGTATATTGAAGCGAAAGCTTCAAAACTATCTAGTCAATAATGTAACATTAAAAAATGTTATGATCAACCAAGAAATATTTTATAATTTCCTTTAGTTTTGACTTTTAAACTCAGCAGTGTCCTACAAGAATGTAAAATTCAATTTGTTTGTTGCAAGTCCCCCTCTTCATATTTAACTCATTAATTCTTCTTTCATTTGAAAGATTGTCAAAACAATATGATGGAAATATAAGGAAACAATTTAGAGTAGCAAACTGCGATTTGGTAAATATACGAACAAGTGGGCACAAATAAGTAAAACTAAACATTTTTAAATGAATTTATGCAACATTTATAGTATTTTTTTAAACAGTAAACATTAATTTGCACATGAAATTAGTCACCATGGTAATGTACCTTGGCAAAAGCCTGCTGTTCCACTCTTTGCAATAGAACATTGACTGGTTCAAAAATAAGGCCTGAAAAGAATTTAACCATTAATTCAACTTAAGGCATAAGTGATACATCAGTGCTTGCAAGGTATTCGAAGACTCAGATAAAACTTGAATTCAGCTTTGTTAAGTCAAGCTCGAATAGCTCGACATATTAAGCAAGCCGAGTTCAAGCTTCCTCATGTCTGGTTCAAATAGCTTACAATATATATGAATTCGAGTTCGAATTCAAATACAAATAATTAAACTTAAAGCCACACATGAGAATCAAATTCTTTTTTATTTGATAAATGAGCTTATTTGAATGAGTTCAAATAGCTCGACTTTTATTTTGAGTATAACTCGAACTTAAAATTTAAAACTTCCGAGGTTGAGTTAAGTTTCGAGCGACGAATTTTGAATCAAGCTCAAGCTTTTTAGACTCGGCTCCATTACAACGCTAATTCAACCAAAGAATAAGAACCACGTAACTATATTTAAGAGTTTTTCGAAATATCCTAAATTTCTTATGTCTTTAATCTTATTATCCCATCTTATGCACAATTACTAGAAAAATAAACTACATCTCCTATACCTAATTTTTCCTACCGTTAGATCGTTCTTTGAGATTTAATTTCTTGAATCCTTCATCTCTCTGCGCTCTACTAATTTTCGCATAAACTCTTTCACCACCGCTCGGAGCCGTGACGGGCAAGAAATCGCCGTCGATCGCCGACGCGTATCTGGACAAATATACCTCCTCATCCTTTTCAACTGCGGCCGCAACGTTAGTCTCCTGCGGCGCCGAGTACGGCAGCCAGTCTTCTTCCTCCTCCTCGATCTCATTTGTTTTGGTTCTCTTGTTTTCCTCGGCTGAGGGCTCAGTTTCGACGGATTCTCGAGGGCGCTTTGGACCTTCGATTTCGAGGTTTTCTGAGGGCGGTGATTTTGGAGGACAGGGATCACGGGGGGGAGAGTCTAGGTAGGGTTCTTCGTAAAAATGAGAGTTGGCTTCAAGTAATTCGAGCTCTTCTGGTAGCGGCATGTCCATGTCTATGTCCATTGGAAGGAACGAGGTGGCGGTGAGTCACAGTCGGTGAGAGGAGAAGAGAGAACGGAAATGAATTGGGAACTCCATTTTTTTTTTTTCTTTTCTTTTCTTAATTCGTTTTTTGGCGGGAAAGTGAAGGGAAAAGAAGCGCCAAGCTGACTACTTAATTTCGATTTCCGAAAATACCCTTTAGGCTTTGTGGTGGTTAACCGTCCGTGCTGCCCATTACTATTGATAAGTCTTTGGGCCTTAGAATTTTAAATTTCTAAATTGTCATTAAATAAAAATAATTTTTATAGTTTTAATTTATATTAAATTTATTTCCTTAGAATTTTAATCTAGAATAAATACCATTTGATTAAAAGTGTTTTTTTATTATGATCATTTAAGTAAAAATTAATTTACTTAAAATTTCACAAAAACAAAAACCCCTAAAGAAAAATTACGAAAAGAAAGTCATTATCATTTTAAAAAATAAAAAAAAATCTTCGATAATACTTTATTTCAACCATTAATAGCATAATTAGAGTTGAGAAACAAAATCAAGAAAACTAAAAGTTCATTTAAAATTGTAGTGTTTTAATTGATTTTTTTATCTATTTTGGATTAAAATCGAATATTAAATATATATATTAATTTTGAATCAAATTTTAAATTGAGATAAAAAAATTAAAAAAACATTCGAATCGATTTATATATTTTTATATTTTTAATGAATTGTAAATAATTATTTTACATATAAATTTATTTAAATATATTAAAATTTTTATTAAAGTAATATATAAAAAATTAAAAAAATTTAAAAATCTATAAATTAAATTAAATCAATAAAATTCTATTCAAATTAATTTTAAAAAATAAATTTAGAATCAAATTTAATTTTTAAAACTCATAACATTATATATTACCTGAAAAATCAAATCCACCCTTACTCGATTTAAACAGCTATCACTCTTAAAAATAATATACGCAAAATTATAAAGCAAAATAAATATTTAATATAAAAAAATAGTCCTAGAACAGGGTGGGCTAAGAAGGTTGTTCAATGAGCAATGGCCCAATCCCCCAGTTTGAAACTCTCCAACGCATGACTCTCGTCATCCTGTCAACCCCCTTAAAAAACCACTTTCCACAACAACATCTTCGATATTTCCACCATCCCCTTCCCCTCCTCCCTTTTTTTTTTCTCCTAAATATATAAAAAAAAAAAAGAAAAAATACGTACAAACAAATTGTCGTACGTATAAATTTTTTTTATATATAAATCAATTGACTGCAAATCCAGCATTTGTTCATTTTCCTATTTTCTTCTCCGATCCCATCGCCCCTCCGTCGCTCTCTTTCTCTTTCCTTTTTTTTTTTTTTTAACACTTTGGGAATTGAATTTTTGGTTGTGAAATTTAGGGTTAGGGTTTTGAGAGATGGGGCAACAGACGTTGATCTACAGCTTTGTGGCACGTGGCACGGTGATCCTCGCCGAGTACACCGAGTTCACGGGTAATTTCACAAGCATCGCCGGTCAATGTCTCCAGAAGCTGCCTGTTTCCAACAACAAGTTTACCTATAACTGCGATGGCCACACGTTCAATTACCTCGTTGAAAATGGATTCAGTATGTATTTATTTTCGCTTTCTTTTCTAGATTTTTTTTAAAAATTTATCTTTGCAATTTGCGATCTGGATCTTCGTGTTTTTTGGTTTGTTTGACTTTTTTTTTCAAATTTGAGTTATTTTCGGATTCTTTTAACTTTCGATTGATTATTTAACGATTCAAATATGAATATCGATGTGCGATCCTTTTTGCTGTTTAGTTATGATAGGCTTAGTTTTGATTCGCAAGGTTTGTTTTTTGTTTGTTTGGATTTGTTGTTTTCACTTCTGAGCTTTATGTTATGTTCTGTTTGGCCTCCGAGAAAAACGGAGACGAAGGGAAGGAATTTGAGCTTTTGATTGGTGGATTCTATTTTTACAGGGTTCTACGTCGATTTCCTTGATTTTTCACTCGTTTTATTTGTGCATATGCCTGTGCGATTTTTGTTGGTTTATCTGTCTTTGGTGGAATGAATCAATAAAATGAAGCTAAGATAGATTAATTGATATCATTGAATGTGTTCATTAATGTTCATCACGAAGAAAGAAGGTTTTCTCAGTGTGAATATATAGCTTAGGGGTGTTAATGTTTTCCTTTCCTGTTAAAATAGGCAATGGTGTTTCTTTTGGATGTATAAGCATATTTAAGAATCATAATAGTTGTGTTAATGAGGGATATAATATTGTATCTTTTGAGGGTGTTGCTTTCCTTTTTTGTTTTGATAGGCAAATGGAGGTAATATTGGGTGTGGGTGCGTTAATGAGATGAGTCTAAACATTATCAGGTTAATGAAACATCATTTGAAGGGCCACATGCTTTACAATTGGCAAGGAGCATTCTATCTGAAGTATGTTTTATTTTGATTGCCGCTTCTATGCTTTTTCCTTTTCTCTTTACCTTGGGTAGCCACATTTCATTGATGTTTCCTCTCCCTCTCAAAAGTTAGTGTCTGTGTGGATGCTTTCATTCAAGTATGTGCGTGTGCTGTGCATCTGGATTGGCTCCAATGACCATGCCTGCAAATTAGTTCTATGCTGGTGGTGGTGGTAGTAGTAGTTACAAATTAATTTTTGATACGTGGAAAGTAAAGAACAACGGTCACTGTCTCATTTATCAATTGCTACTGCTTGTGGCCTTTTAGCTTTTGTGTGGGTGCATGCGCTCACAAGTGTGTCTTATTGATGTTAGTTTCAACGCTGCTGATTATATGCATAATGGATTGCCTTCAGAGAGAAAAAGGGAGATATTTTCTTTTCCTTTTTCTAAATAAAGTGGTTTGAATCATAGATCTAGGTGCTGACTTCTGGTGTGAATTTGTTGAATGTGGCTTGAATAGGAAATGAATCAAGAAATGATTGCGTATTTTCATACTCTGTAATCTGTTTTTCATGCTCATTTTGTGAAATACATTTGGTGCTGCAGCCTACTGTGTGGTTGCCGTTGAATCTGCTGGCAGACAAGTTCCAATTGCATTTCTGGAAAGAGTTAAGGAAGACTTCAACAAGAGATATGGAGGAGGGAAGGCTGCAACTGCTACTGCCAATAGCCTGAATAGAGAATTTGGGTATTTATTACTCTATGCTTCTTTTCATAGATCTATTATTTTACTTCTTGGCAACGTTCTGAGCTCTTTTTACATGCTAGGTCCAAATTGAAGGAGCATATGCAGTTCTGTGTGGACCACCCTGAAGAGATCAGCAAACTTGCCAAAGTGAAGGCTCAAGTTTCTGAAGTTAAGGGTGTTATGATGGAAAACATTGAGAAGGTAATAGGCTGCTGCTGACTCTGTAGCTGTTCTAGATGTAGTTTGAGGTTAAACTATGACAAGATGCACAGCCAGCTTTCGCAATTTGCAAGCATGGCTTATAAAATAGAATGATACTTTCAGATATATTGCTTGTAGCTTGTTGTTTTCTTCGGTTGGTAACATTTGTCTTTGGCCAGGTCCTTGACCGTGGTGAGAAGATTGAGTTGCTGGTGGATAAAACTGAGAACCTTCGCTCACAGGTTAGTCCTATTCAAACTGCATTTCTCATGGCTAACTGAAACAATGACTATTGCATTTTGGCGAAGCTGTTTCCTTATCAAACTTGGTTTTAGTAATTTTTATAATTCTCGTCAATCTAAGTTTCTAATTTAAGTACTTTGTCTTGTATGGTTTCTTTATGCCTCCTATGTTCATGCACCGTGTGATGCATTAACTTCATATACATAAGATGCATATGACTTGATATTGAATTCCAGGCACAAGATTTTAGGCAGCAAGGAACTAAGATGAGAAGAAAGATGTGGATTCAGAACATGAAGATAAAATTGATTGTTTTGGGTATCATTATTGCCTTGATTCTTATCATTGTGCTGTCAGTCTGCCATGGCTTCAAATGTTAATCTGTCTTGGATTTCCCTCGTACCACCCTTGCTGCCTTTCTGACTGGGATGTCTTGATAGATTGAGTTGCTTTACTTCCTTTTTTTTCAGGTCACATGTTTCTCCCTTTGCTAGCCGTTTAGGATAGGGGGAGGCTTTGTATCTTGGTTGGCTGTATAGAATATAGTTTGAACTTCTTACGGTAGATAAATATTTCTACGAATGATTTCTTCTTTATGTTGTAATGGAGGAATACTTGGATGCCTGCATGTCCTATTTGCCCCTTTGAAATGTTATTAATCTGTCTTCATTTTGTTCTTGTTATGATGTAAATCCTTTTATATGTATATTCTTTTCTCTCTCTTTGTGAACCTTTTGGAGGTAAGAGGAGGGTGTAGCTGGTGGTGTAGACAGTGGCTTTTGGTAGTTGGTTCCTTTTAAACTAATGAGATTATCTTTGGTTTTACATTATTCAACTACGTTTTCAAATCAAACTTATTGAATAGCATGTCAAATATAACATTATTATTGCTATAGCAATGAATGTAAGATAGGAGTTAGCATATTTGCTTCATAATGACCCAATTTGAGTTTCTAACCACATGATACGATCTATTCTCCAATTTAGTTCAAATAGAATTTGAGCTATGTTTGAATTTTTTGTTTTTCCTTTACAATGAAAGATCGTAGTCTAAAGATAAGGAAAAGATTGTGCAGATATAACAAAAACAACAAACTAAACTTTATATTTCATAATTTTGAGGTCGGTTATATGAAAGGTAAAAAAATAATAATAAATTATGTTATATCGCAATTTTAAATTTTTTTACATCACTCATTGATATCAACAATATTTTTATATTATTTTAACTCATAATTTTTTATTATTTGTATTTATATATTTTATGATCTATTTTTAGGAGAAGATTGCGTAGGTGTTAGGAGTTTAAATTTTAAATCTTTAGTTGTCACTTTCTAAAAATAATTGTATGATTAAATTTTGAATTGAGAATGTTTTGTCTTTTTCACATTATAAATATAGCTAACTTCTTATTGTTTGATTAGGCTTTGATCTAAGGGCTATAATTTATAAAATCATCATAATTATAGTTCTTGGCTAAGTTTTATGGTAATTAAGATCTTCCCATCCTTACACCCCAAGAATCTTATGAATAATAGTGGTAGCAGAAAAAGAGAAAACCAATGTCCATAGGAAAAGATTATATTTTTATGTAAACCATAGAAACAATGCGAACCAGTACTGTCCTGTCCTCATCGTTTGGTACATAACGCGCTGAGATTAGATGCCATAAATGAAAACCTAATGCCTGACACGAACACGGCTTAGTATTTGTATTCTCAATTATATCAAACGCCTAAAGCCACCAACCTTCTGGATCGCCTGATGCCCATAGTTGGCTGGATGTTCGTTGTCTCTCCATTGCTGAAAAACCCAAATAAAACAAAGAAAATTCAACCGCCAGCAATCCTTCAAAACTAGAAGTAATGGATCCACTTATTCATGAACAATCTCTATCTACTTACCATGTATGAAGTATGAACTTTCTCATATGTTTGGTGGTATGATATTTAACTATTTATTAATCACAAATAAGAGATTTTTGTGAAGCCGGAGATGAATGCAGTTGGTTTGTTTGTCATGATTTAAAAAAAAGTCATAAATATTTATATTGGTTGTGTATTAAAGTCAAATAAGTGGTTTTATCACTTACAATTTATAAGATATTTTTTATAAGATAAAATCGTAAAATTTAATATATCAAAGCGAATAATATTTTATAAGTTCGTGCGGATAATAATATAATTAATACAAACATCTTAAAATATGACATCTAATAAATTTATGATTCGAATTTTAACATTTTTAATCTCTTTCTCTATCTTTTTTTTTTTTTTTACGAAAGAGATTTTTGCAATCAATATTTTTTATAAATGAAAATGAAAGACTACTAAGTATTCAAAGTAATCCATTTACAATATGAAAAAGTACAGGAAAAAGCAGTTCACAGATTTTTGAATGTTTTCTTGCTTTCCATAACTACCAAGTTCAGCAGGGCCATCCATCCTCCACTGTTGAGTTTGACGGGCGGCCATCCTTCTGATTTTTGTGTTGCTTTCATGAGCTGCTAACCATAGAAGTGATACTCTCTTGCACTTCAGCATCCGGATCCATACCAAACTCAGGGTTGTCATGTGATAATCAAATCAGTTTCGCCATTATTTTCTCCATTGCAAGACTCAAATCACAGCTTTTTCCTTCCGATGCAATTCACCATCATCAGCAAACTAATGGTGAAAGGAGGCGATCATGTGATCAACAAAAGAGTTCCCAGCTCTTACAAGCATGCAGAATCCCACATGCACAACGCTCTTCCAAGTAGCTGACACTTTACCCCTCGCATGCCTAGCAAACTGCTTCAGAGTCATAAATTTCGTTTTTAAAAGCTTCATGCCAAAGAGCCTCATCTTATTGTATCAGTCTGCTGTATATTTTGGGTTGGCTAATATAATCAATGGGAAAAAAAAATGAAGAAATTTAATCGAGATACTTTGATCAGAAATCTTTCGAAAGATTGGATTCAAAAAAGCATAGTGCCTCGGACAATTTGGCGAATAAAAAACTACTCGAAAAAAGGGCAGAATTCAAACAGATACAGATCAAATTAAAGATATTAAGATTAAGCATAACAAAATTTTGTTCTTGGAGATAATTTTGATTGAGTTATTAATATGTTTTTTGATATAAGGAAAAGAATTAAGAAAGGAAAATAAGACAAGACTAAACAGTACTTCTTTAAACTTTCCCAACTAATAAGCATTTTTTTTTTGTCCGAGATCTTTCAGTGTCGATAATTACTTTAGGCTTCTATTAATCCTAAATTGAGTAATATCAGATCCCATAAGAAAGATAAGCTCATCCAAGTTTATTTTCTTTATTCATAAGATTCAAAATCGAAAATTTACTTAAAAAAAACAAAATTTATTATCACTCAAATCAACAAACATTGATAATTAATAAGCTTTTAATTCTTACAAGAGAATAAAAAGATTTATACTTTCATACAATATCTTAATTGAATTATATGTAATAATTAATAAATTCGATTTAATTCTCTATCCATACATGCCAAAATCCTTACAAAAATCTAATTTGTTCTACAGTTATTTGGAATTGGATTTGTCAAACAAGGAATAACCATATTAGTGTCTAGTAGTTTCAAATAGAAATCTAAATGGGGCGTAGCCAAGTGGTAAAAACAGTGACTTGGGGAATTCTACTTACTATCTTAAACATCTTTTCACACAAAATATAAAATTTTGCAAGAAAATCAATTGCACTCCTTAAGGAAATGACCGTCCTACTGTCCTATTTCAAACAATGTAATCGACTACTATCCAAGAGCATTCAACTGCTCTTGCTAATTTCATTCCAAATATTATTTTTATACTTCATTTATTAAATACAAATGCAATTTCCATGATTTTATACCTTTGTAGTTTGTAAAAGAAACTCTATAGCACTTTATAAAACATATATTTTAATAATATATACATCAAAGCCACCAAGCTAACTCAACAAGCAAAGTGAGGTTTCCCAGTCAAATCTTCATAGGATTTTGCTTATTTAGCAGTTCCTTCAAAACTGATAAAACCCAGGTGAAGTATAAATTAAACAACCATAAAATCAACAAGCTAACTGATCTCTGAACGAAGAGATTTCTTCGAAGATAGGAAGCCTCCTTGATCGATATGGAGTCCATTGGCTCATCAACTGGTCAAGACCTTCTAGGAAAGTATCTTCTAAATTCAACCCTTTGGAAGTTGAAGCTAATGAAATGGGCTGTCGTGACTCAAATTCCTGTAGCAGCTCCTTCACACGGTTTCTTGATTTGGGGTCATTGGATCCTGGAAGTTTATCCTGTATTACTTCCTCGAGAATGGATCGTGCTTCCAAGTAACGTGCTTGTTTGATCAAACACTGGCAAAGGTTGCAAGCCTTGTTGGCATCAGGGTCTATTATCTGAGCTTTACGATAAACTGCTTCTGCTGCTAAATAATTTTCTTGCTGCATGTAGGCCCAACCCAAGTTTCCCTGTATTACAAATTTGTCAGAAATTTTTTCAAAAATCAATACTGTTAACACAAAAGGAACAAAACGAACATTTCTTTGCAACTTTATGCAAGTGAAGTGATCTTAAATTGCTGGCTGAAAAGATCAGAAATGGTGGAAAAAAGAACCAAAGGAAATTAGTGGAAGTAGTACGAAGCATGCAGTTCTATCAAAATCTACAGCAATAATGCAAAAAGTTATGAACTGATTTTGTTATACAGACAGTACCAAGTATTGATTAAGAGGAAACAAATGCATTATATGACAGATAACTAACTAGAAAAATTTTAGTACCAGAATCCTAGAGCTCTCCTGCTTGATGGTAACTTGGAACTTCTTTCCATGGGACCGTGCTGTCTTGGTAGGCTTCCCATTGAAGGCCTCACCTTGGTAAATCATTCTAAGCTTCTGTTTCAACAGTTGTATCTGCTCGTCAATTCTTCCACATTTCTGCTAAACCCATTGCAATTAGCATGAAGACTTTATAATCGTACCTATGAAGACGATGAAAGCAGGAAGACAATCCCTACATCTAAAAACCTTAAGAATATATAACAAAACCTTTTCTTGATTTTTTTAATGAGAGCAAGACTTAACAACACACAATTGAAGTGGTTTTTGCAGTTCACCTGACAGAAACAGTATTAGCAAAAAAATTTATTTCAGGATTTCCTACCTAGTGTTTCGTTATTAATTCTAGTGTCTTGATTGATTCTTGAATATGATTTTAATGTCCTTGGACTCATTTTGCATATATAAGGGCACATGTCACGCCAAGCACTCCAAGGCAGTAGGTAGGGTACTTCAATTTCATATTGGATAGGAAAGGAAAGGTCGCTGGCATAAGCATTGGTACTGCACACCCCAATAAGCTGATTTGGGGAGCGAGCGTAATGGTGATGTGACACACATGTCATGAGTAATTCCCATAATCAGTGCCTCACCTTAGGTGCTTGGCAGCTCCTTACTAATTAGACAGATAAATGCTCAAACATCATCATTATTCAATAACTCTAGAAAGGAGATCACTGGTTGGAATCCTCTCATGGGCTTATCTAAACATTGTTATATATAAACTCTTTAATACAGCCAATAACCACGTGGACTCGTAATTTCAATGATCAAATTCAAATCCTGACATCATCAGGTAAAAAGTATGGAATATAATGTAATACAGCCTGAGGCTCCAGGTTCAATTTGCATTACCTTATACAAGTCAATGAGGACATTGTCTAGTGATTCCTGAGCTTGCTTGGAGCAGCGGTCCCTAAAAGACTTTATGGCTTCAATAGCTTCTTCAGCTCTATCCTGCTGTTTCATAACCACTGCCATGTCTTTTAGTGCACTGTCTATTCTATCTCCTGCATTTATAGCCTTCCAAAACAAAAGTATGGCCGCTTCTGGATCCTTATCTACTAACTGCAATACATAGGGAAGATAGCCAAATTGAACCACCCAAAAAATTTCAAAGCATGAAAAGGTGATTTTTTACGGTTTTACCCTTTCTCTACAGTGTAATAACAGCAATTGATGAACAACAAAAACGAATAGATATAAATTGATAATTATAACAGAAAACGAAAACCCTGCATAGTAAATAACTCTCACAATCAGGGCTTTTCAGTAATTATAAAAGCCTAAAGAAGAAAGGGTAACTCAAGATATAAATGGATGAAAAGCAAAAACGAATAGATATAAATTGATAAACTAAAAGGTAGATACTTATAACAGAATCTAACGAAAACCCTGCATATTAAATAACAGGCACATTCAAGGGCTTTTCAGTAATTATAAAAAGCCTAAAGAAGGAAGGTTAACCTACGAGGTCTAGAATGAATTTAACTGCATTAAAGAAACCCCAGATAAGCAAATCAAACTGCCTCCATAAAAGAATGGGGATATACGGCATGCATACGCATAGATATACGTAGATGATATTTATATACCTGAACATTTTTGGCTCGAACGTAAGGGCTGTCCCCAGGAGGAAGCTTGTGAAGGACATGGTAAGGAGGAGAAGGAAGCGGCTCTTGCAGCTGTGTCTCTTTCTCTTTTCTCTGTTTCATTTCTTCCTTATGATGTGAGGAAAAGAAAGGGAAGATTTTGGAGCTGAATTTGACGGAGAATTTTGGAGCTGAATTTGACGGAGTTTTGGTGGTTTCAATGGCGGAAACAGAAGAGGAAAAAGAGGAAGCTTACGAGGGAGGCTTTAATAGGATAGAATTATAAAATATTCGCTGGAAATGGTGTGGGGGAAGATGGGATGAACGTGGACGTAATGTTATCCAGGTTCTTTCTGGTTCGGGATTTGCTGTCGCGGTTTTGACGTGTTTGCTTTGCCACGTTTGGGTTTGGGAAACATGATAGCATTTTATTTCTAGGACTTTTTATTCATTTGGTCTTCAAAGGACGGTTTTGCCCCCTCCTGTCCATTTTTTTTTTCTCATTCATTAATTTTTTAATACTATTTGCCACTAATCGGTCGGGGTAAAGAAAAAATTTTGAAGAAATTATAGTACTTGGGTTAGTTTGAATTAATCATTTTTATTTAATTTGAATTAAATGTGAATATTAAATATATATTAAGAACTAATCGAATTTTGAATTTAAAAATAAAAATTAAATTGAATTATATTTTTTATTAATTTTTATATATTTTTGAAATTTTATAAAATTAAAATAATTATTTTATATTAAAATTTTATATAAAATAATTTCAAAAATCAATAAATAATATCAAAATAATAAATTCAATTGATTTTAAATTTGAATCAAAATTTAAAAATTTAAAAATTATATATTATTAAAAAATAAATTACATATGATCCGAATCATTATTATTCTTAATTGATGGTTAAAATATGTTGTTTACTGCGTTGGAACATTCAATGGATAAAGAAAATTTTAATATGTTGATATTTATGTCGAGATTAATTGCTATAATTAAAGTTTCAAATGCCAACCATTAGTACTTTAATTTGATTAATCTTTGCTCGAAGCATGAATGATTAGCTTAAATAAAATATTTTTAAAAAAATATAAATTGAATTTAATTGTTTTTGAACAAGATACACTTCTAAGATCGAATGAGTATTTTTATTTTGATATTTAAAATTATTAATAATTAAATCTTAATTATGCAAGTTAAAAATTTAACATTCTATTAATAAATAAAATAACCATTATCTCAAACGAGCATTTAATTTTTGCGCCTAATTCTTAAGGAACACGCCTAACTCCGTTAATTCATCTTCTTTATTTTCTTATTAAAAAAATGGCTAGAATGTGTTTAAAAATTGTATTTAAATTTAAAAATTAACGAACCTCTATTTTTTTTTTTTTTTACTATAAATGACAATGAATCAAATCAAAGTAAATTTTTTATTGAATTTAATTTGATTTTATAAATTTAATATTTGAATGTAATTTGATTTAATATTAAAATATTATTTTTATATTTAAATCTGATATTCATTTGACTTATTCGATTTAAAATTAATAAAAATTAATTTTTAATATAAAATATTATTTTTTAAATATAAATTTAAATATAAAAATATAAATATAACATTAAATAATTAATTAAAAATAATATATATACAGAATCAAATCAAATTTATATAATATCCAATCTCAACTTTTTTTAAATATTCTATCTAACCCAATTTAAAACTTAATTTTAAAAAATTAATTTTATAAAATTAAATTAAATTAAAATTTATCGAATAAAATTATCATCCTATTTTAGATAAAATTTATGAATTTAATATTTATAAGTTAGAAGGGCAAGGTGTGGGTCCTTGCCACTTTTATCAGTCCAGTTAAAACCCTTCATCTCATGAATCTATCAACGGCCACTCTCCTAGGGCCAAACTGCTATGGGTCAGCAAACCAAATCAACTTTATTAAAATAGACTAAAATTTATAAAATAAAAAATTAAAGACAATAATAATAGGCACTTGATGGCGCCAAATTATCGGATGAGGGCAGGTAAAAATTAAAGACTAAAATTTTTATAACATTATAAAAATAAAAATAAAAAAATTTTTTTACATCAAAAAAATAAAGCCCCAATATAAGTTAAAAAAAAATTTAACTCAAAATTAGATCTTTGACGTTTTTTTAAATACTTTTAATCATTAAATCAAAATTTTAAAAATATTTTTTAAAAATTTATTTTTTTACGAAACAAACGAAACGGTAGACGTTTTAATCTATGATGCCTCAATCATATCGAAGCCCAGTTCGACCTCATAGCCCAATCTATAATAGTACTTATGTGATGTCAACTGCTAGACTCTCGCCCACTTTCGACTTGCGTTGCTCTTGAGGTGAGAAGCTTTATTGTAATATGATAAGTGTTTTTGGACCGATCTAAATTAGTGTTATAATGTGTTATGAGTTAAAATTTAACTCAGGTAAACAAAGCTTGAGTTTGGGCTTTGATGTAGATATTCTGGATTATAACCGCAAAATAGTCTTCTATTTAATCTGTAACATTTTGAGATCTCACGAATATTTTGGTCTTCATATCGAATTGGATATTATATATTTTTTTAAGAAAAATTTTAAAATAGATAGATTATTTAATTTTTTTAAATAAAATAAAATGTATCATATTAATAATTTAATATAAATAATTATAGATCGTATATTCGAAATAATTTTAATAAATATCATTAATAAAATTTAAATTTAAATTTTTTCATTGATGAATACGAATCTTAATCAATTAAATCAATCACTTATTAATTAATTAAAATTTATTGATTTATTGAAATTGATCAGTCTTTGGAGCCTTTTTTGATATTTGCTTTATCTTTGTTTTTCTTCTCAAGTCACTGTGTTACGTGATTATTACTTTTTTCTTGTAAAATTAGTTGATTGAAATGTGTACTATCAAAGTTTATGTATCTGGTGATTTTTTTTTATTTAATATAAGATTGAAGCATCTTATTTATTTTTTGAACACTTAGATATTTGTTCTCATTCAAGCTTTTGATAGTTTTATCACGGTTGTCATCCTATTTACTCTTTTTTGGAATACTTTGCATAGTTAAATTTTATCATCATATCTTATTTAGGAGATCATTTTTTGTCATGATATTTTATTAAGTTAGGGATGATAACAATTAGGTTCGAATAGAATTTTATTTTATTTTTTTTAATATTATATAATATTATAAAATTTTAAAATTTAATTTAAATTTGAATCAAAATTAAATCGAATAAAATTTTATTTGTTCAATTCAGTTTATTGATTTTTAATTATTATATATTATTTTAATATAATTTTTAATATATTTAAGTATATTTTGATAAAAATTTTATAATTTTATTTTATAAAAATTAAAAATATATATAAAAATAAAAAATATATATAATTCGATCTTTTTTTTTCAAATTTTTACATTCAAATCCAAAATTTGATTCGAATATAATATATATTTAATATTTAAATTTAATTATAATTGAATCAAACTAAACATTATAATTTTGAATCGAATTTTTTATTTTTTTTTACCCCTACATTATTAAGTGGTCAAATTATCACAGCTATTATCCTATCTGTTCCTTTTTATAATATTTGGCATGGTCAGACTTTGCATTCGTGTCTTATTTCAAAACCTTATTAAATAGTTAGACTAGCTTACTTTACCTTTCTCGTTAGGATGTTTGGAATGAAATTGGATAAGTCAAATGTTATATTTGATATTGTTTGTTACGTGATCATTATTTTTTTTAAAGATATAAATAATATATTAATATTCATAAATTATTTATATTTGATTCGAATAAAAATTTAATTTTAACTCAATTATTATCGAATCGAACTCGAACTTAAATAGTTTGATTCGTCAATCGAGTCGAATTTGAATATTTTTATACTAAACTTAAGTAGCTCACGAACGGAATCGAATTTTTATATTTAAATATATTTTTATTATTTTAAATAATAAAATATCTTGAATTTGAGTTCGAGTACAAATGATCGAATTTTTATCGAATATCAAAATTAAATTTATTTTTATATGTTAATCGAACATAATCGAACGAATTAAAATAGTTCGATTTTTATCTCAAATTAAACTTAAATTAAAAAAATAAAATTCGATTGAATTTAAATTTTAAATTTTAAATTAAATTTGAGCTCAAATTTAATATTATATTGATTAAAAGTCAATTGATTAAAATATGCAACGTCAATACTTATATACTAATGATTTTTTTATCTACTATGAAATTAAAACATTTTGTTACTTTTTTTTAAGAACATTTGCCCTTACATCTGTCTTTAATATGATATTGATAAAATTAATGAAATAAAATATAATTTTAAATAAATTACCGTTCTACGTATTTTACTAACATATATGATATATCGATATTTTTGGATAATAATTGTTGATTATTTTTTAAATTAAAAAACTGTAGCCGGTCTCCCAACAAATTATATTCAAACCAAAATAAAAATGTCCATTATTGAATAGACAATAAACAAAAAAAAAAAGGAAAAAAAAACGTTTTCCCCACCGATCACTCACCCGCGGGAAAACTAACGGTTAATAATTTAAGACATCATAAAATATTAAAAAATGCCCTTTCCTTGCACCACCTTTTGCCACGTGTCATACCGATGTCCAGGCCCTCCGTTCCACTTTTTTTTTTTTTAAGGCTTTTGATGACTATTTTTCCACTCCAAGTCTTCTGCTTCAGAACTCTCTTTCTCTCTCTCTAAAAGTCTTAATTTTTTTGCACTTTTTTCTCTCTCTAGAAAGAAGTGTCGGTTCCGACATGAACGCTGTAGCGCCGCCGCAGCTCGTCTACGGCGGAATCGACCCCGTCCGCTTGTCTTTCCCGCGCTCTAACAGAGTCTCTATTCGCACTCGAACGAGACCGGTACTCGCCGTCGCAACCGAACCTAAGCCCAGTCGTAATGTGCCGCCCCAGCCCTCTCCTTCAAACAACAACATCAACGGCTCCTCCAAGCCCCTGTCATCTAAAAAATCCGTTAACGGAGTACGTTCTTATAACTTAGGAAAACATAGCTTTTTTTTTTTTTTCTGTGAAATGAGATTTGATTTCATTAGGTCAACTTTTGTTTGGTTGCTGAGAAAGTGAAGGAAATGAAAGGAAAATTTAAGTAATGTTTTAGGTTTTTGTATTATTATTAGAAGAGTTTATATTTATTACAAGATCGCCACTACATTGAAATTAACATTTATTAATAAGTAAAACTTTTAATTTATTTTCCAAATAAGGTGCGACAAAAATTCTTATTCTTGAATTTCTGAATTATTATTTTTTGGTTAATGTTTTAGTCTTTGTTTACTAATTGCTTTGATGATAATTGAACAAGCAGAGGATGGGAGAAGTTTCACAGGAAATAAAAAGAGTAAGAGCACAATTGGAAGAAAATGAACAGTTGGCTATACTAATGAGAGGACTTCGTGGCCAAAACTTACGAGATTCACAGTTTGCTGATGACAGCATTCGGCTTCGGTTGGTTGAGGTAAAAATTCAGTTTTTGTAGCATATATATGTATGTCAAGCTTGAATTCTATTATTTTTTTATTCTTTTAGAGTGATATTTTTAGTACATGGAAGATCTGATAATTCGTGTATTTGAGTCATGTAAAATATTGAAATTTGTGTACTTGTGTAAAATATTTTTGTACAATGTTTTACACGAAAATTACGTGTCACAATTCATGTCAACACGAAAACATGAAATGTGTTTTTTTGGTTTTGTTAAACCCATATATAATTATTGTTAAAATTTTAAACCGTATCACCACCGTGTCTTGTTTTAGATTGCGAGGTGGACAACTCATTTCATTTTTGAAAAGTTGAAAATTTTAAGGGCTTTTGAAAATTTTAATGAACTTAGGGCAGTTATATTGATGCTTTTGAGAAATTTTTGGCAATTGTGGTTTCTAGCTATTGAGCTGTTTCTATATTATAGTACATTGTTGGCTGGTCATGGATCAATCTATCTCTGGTTACATAGGTTGATGAAAGCAGTGAGTTCTTACCTTTGGTATATGATCCGGAAAGCATCTCTGTGTACTGGGGAAAACGCCCACGTGCTGTTGCAACTCGTATTATACAGTTACTATCTGTTGCTGGTGGTTTCCTCTCACGTCTGGCTTTGGATATCATAAACAAAAAGGTCAAAGAGGTGAATACTTGATGCCCTACCCCATTTTTTTGGTGTTTGCTTTTGATTTCTGAATATCCCAAGTGCCACAAATTTTAAAAAATGGTTCTGTCTCTCCTTCATGTTCTTTCATTGAAGTATTTGGGCTTCCTGTACCGTGTGTTTCTGTCTGTTCTCATCTAAAATATGCACATCCTTGTTTGATTAATTTTTTTTTCTTGTTCAAATTTGATTATCTCTTTTTAATTTGTTTATTTTTCATTATCAGAATGAAGTTGCTAGAGCTATTGAATTAAGGGAAATTGTTACTTCTTTGGGCCCAGCGTATATAAAACTTGGGCAAGCATTGAGCATTCGACCAGATATACTTTCCCCTGTTGCAATGATTGAGCTGCAAAAGCTTTGTGATAAGGTAAAGTTATCACATAGTCATTCTTCATTCTTTCCCTTTAATGTTATTATATTGAATCAATCATTTCCCTATGCCTCAAAAGTTGCTCAAAAGACATAACTTATCAGGAGTAAGAAATTTAATTTTACATTTGGCATTTGGCACCATTATAATAGAGATAGAAAATGTGAGAACACATCTGCAATTTAGTTCTGATGCCTGTTTTTAGATCTAATGTGCATGTCTTTTTGCCTGGAATATGATCCTTGATTGTTGTCTTATCTTTGGGATGAGCTCCTCTTAAATAGTCTTTTACCGCAGAAATAACTTCAGCAAATGGCATGACTTGTTCCACCTGAATCGTTAACCTTGTTTGATAGATTTCAATGTGACACATGATTTATTTTAGTTTGTTTGAGTATTTTATCAGTAGCAAAACAATAGGTTTTGGAAAATTGGTTTTGATGGAGCAGGGCCTTCTTGATATGTCTCTGCCAACTTTTCATCCTTTATTATACAATTCACAAACTTAAGTTTGTTGGGGGAAAATTACTCTTAAATGATTACATGATAGGGATTTTAATTTGAAAATTTTGTTTTCTCTCCAAAAAGCTGACAATATTCCATAAGGTAGATATTGCTAATCTTGTTACCATTCATATATTTTTATACTTCTTTAAGGGCAGCGTCGTAAGTGTATTTTTGTAACTGACTTTTGTTTGCTCGTATGCGAAGGTTCCTTCATTTCCAGATGACATAGCAATGGCTCTTATTGAAGAGGAACTTGGTCAGCCATGGCAAGAAATCTACTCTGAACTTTCCTCTTCACCAATAGCTGCTGGTAATCTCAGCTTGAATATATGTTGCACACATATATGCATATATACATACATTGATACATTTATATTTATATTATGTAGATAACTTTTAATAGCTTTTACCTGCTATTCCAGATATAAATATTTTAAATTGTTGTGGGATATCTATGGCAGCATCTCTTGGACAGGTATATAAGGGACGCCTGAAAGAAAATGGAGATCTGGTGGCTGTCAAGGTGCAGAGGCCTTTTGTTCTTGAGACAGTTACTGTTGATTTATTCATTATAAGGAACTTGGGTCTGGTGCTCCGGAAGTTTCCTCAGGTAATAATATAGCTGTTCGTACTTTGCTATTTGTCAAAACTTTTCTTTCTTATAGAGGGCATCTATATTCTGTAGCTGTATATTTATAATTTGCCATGCTTTACCTACTTGCTTTCCCTTATTCATTCCAGATCTCTATAGATTTGGTTGGATTGGTTGATGAATGGGCTGCTCGATTTTTTGAGGAGCTAGATTATGTTAATGAAGGTGAAAATGGACAACTCTTTTCTGAAATGATGCGAAAGGACCTTCCACAGGTTACTGTTTTCTAAACTTATAGCTGTATCATGTCTGCCGGAATCATTCCTGACTCTGGTGAAACCAGTCTTTATATGTAATCTGGTTAAAAGAAGTTAATTCTTCATGTTGTTGTTAGTTAGTTAGTTAGTTTCTTAAGAATATCTAGAGAAACTAGTGGATTGTCAAATTTCGTTTTCAGGTTGTTATACCAAGGACCTATCAGAAATATACGTCAAGAAAGGTTCTTACTACAGAATGGATCGAAGGAGAAAAGCTATCACAAAGTACAGAAAGTGATGTTGGTGAGCTAGTCAATGTTGGAGTGATATGCTACCTAAAGCAGGTAATGAACTAATTTGGTATGCACATCCTAGTTTACGTCTAATGGAGATATGGTCAAGATATGTTCTCTTTTGAGGAGGGAATTTTTTCAATGTGAAACTTCACTTTCTTGTCAACCTTTTCCTGGTTGCATTTTTTTTATTTTTCACTTTTGAGGTTAATTTGTGCTAAAATGGGATTAGTTGCCTGAAGCAGTTAAATATGTTATGCTTCAACTTGTTGATGATAAGAATGATAATAATGCAGAAGATGGTGGAAGGAAATTCTCTGTATCAGAGTGGCAGTACTGCAAAATATTGTGACATTTGGAAATGTTATTTGTTCTTTCTTTAATTTCAAAAAATGTTAAACACAATTCCATAGATATTTATCCTATGTAATTTTTGCAGTCAAATGATAGTTGTAAAATTCACTTTTGGTTAAGGTAGTCATATTGAAGATAAGAGAAGGAATTCCTCATATATTAAAAAATAATTTTGTGTAAAAGGAGGTTGAATTTAAGTTTCTTTCTTTTTTTCCGTTTGAATATTCAGGAGCTAATATCAAATGGCAAGGTCGCTTGTCTGCATTGTTTGTGCATAACGATCACGAACTATCACTTAAAATATGTCTTCATCTTCCTTTCTGTGCTTGCCAATTGTTTGTGCATGTCTAATTGAAACAAACAGCTGTTGTGAATATTCACCACATAGATCACCGATATGCCAGTGATCTAAGAAGGAAGGAAGCACCGAACATTTCTTTGTTTTAGATATTTTATTGCTCTACATCAGACAAGTTCCTAAGCTTATTATCTAATTTGTGTTACTTATCCCATTTTGATTTCAGTTGCTTGATACTGGGTTTTTCCATGCTGACCCACATCCTGGGAATTTGATCCGCACTCCTGATGGGAAGCTAGCCATTCTTGACTTTGGTAATAATACATTCTAAAGCTTACACTGCAAAAGGTCTTCTTTCAACATGTGTAAAGGCATCACATAGATCGAGCTACTTCTTTGTGATGTAGACCTGTATCCTTATTTAAGTGTTAATCTTGGGTAATGCAGCCATTGCAAGCTGTTATTCCCCTCCCAATTATAAAAGCATTCCCTAGATTAATGACAAAGTGTTTTATGTTTCCCTTCTGTACATGCTTGTACCGGTTGACTCATAAAATGTGTCTTTAACCTAATAAAGAAAGAATAGCAGCTAGTCATCTTCGCTCCAAGCTTGAATAATCAACCAGTGCTTGCTTTCTGAATTACTGCTTAAATTGTAAAGCCCAAAAAGAAAGAGTATCCCGTTACGGGCCGTTGAGAACAAACTTAATCTTTTCGTATGAGCTTCTCATTTTTGGTCTATTTATCAGATCTGTCTATTCCTAATGCTTTATTCCTCATTTGATTCGGTCAAATGGAAACTGATATTCATTATTGTGAGTGTTTGAATTTGTGCTCAGTGTTGGCTTCCTTTTGTTTTAAATGCAATTTATTTATGAGTTTCCAAGGATTACTCATCTGAGGACTGAAAGAAAAGCTCTGTACTTCCTGAATGATAGTGGCAATCAAAACCATAAGAATAAGACCAAAATCTCTATAACTGAGCCTTAGTCCAAGTGCCTTTATGTGGACTTGGGGATTTTAGAAGTCATTTGTGTCTGTGTCTAGAGCACAAATGAAGTGTCCTTCTTTTAAGGATACAATTCATTGCCTGATTCATCTATAAACTAATTACTGCTTGTATGAAACAATAGCTTTTTTTGCTCATGAGCAACTGTAACTGGATATGCATTGTTTCCGATGATCTATTTTAATTGGTAAAAAATGATTTACTTTCTATGCAACCTATCAAGGGCAGGACTTTTGGTTCTGCAAGTTGAAGAAAATCCATTTAGCCAACCTCCAATGTAGTTTTGTTGGATTTAGCTGAGTTGAGAGATTGATATATGGTTGTCTTTCAACAATTATTTGGTAGTTCTTTTCATAAATCATTGATATTATGCTGATCATGCATATAAACGCTAAATTTTACTGTGAGAATACTTTCTTTTATTTATTGAGGCTTTATTTTGTAGATTGTAAAGTTTGCTTGTGATGTAACAGGTCTTGTCACAAAATTAACTGATGATCAGAAGTATGGAATGATTGAAGCAATTGCTCATCTTATTCACAGGGACTATGCAGAAATAGTTAAAGATTTTGTTAAACTTGATTTTATTCCTGTGGGGGTTAATTTGGAACCCATCCTGCCTGTTCTGGCAAAGGTTTTTGATCAGGCACTTGAGGGTGGGGGTGCAAAAAACATCAACTTTCAGGAGCTCGCATCTGATTTGGCACAGATAACATTTGATTATCCATTTAGGATACCTCCTTATTTTGCTCTTATAATTAGGGCAATAGGGGTGTTGGAAGGAATAGCTTTAGTGGGGAATCCTGATTTTGCTATTGTGGATGAGGCCTATCCATATATTGCACAGGTATGAATATTCATTTGTTGCAAATTGTATTTTTAAATGAATTTGATTTATCAGTGTAATGATGATGTGAAATATGCCCGGGCCATTGTTATTTTGAATTTCTGATAGCTAAATAGATAACTGTCTAATTCATTAGTTTTATGTTTAGCATATGAATGAGGGCCTAAGAATGCTTCAATGGTAACATTGTTTCTTTATGATGGTCTGGCCTTTGTTATAACAGTATACACTGGCCATTGTTATTTTGAATTTCTGATGGCTAAATAGCTAATTGCCTGATTCATTAGTTTTATGTTTAGTATATGAATGAGGGCCTAAGAATGCTTCTAGGATAACAATGTTTCCTTATGATGATGACCTGGCCATTGTTATTTTGAATTTCTGATGGCTAAATAGCTAATTGCCCGATTCATTTATTTTATGTGTAGTATATGAATGAGGGCCTTACTTATGATGACCTGGCCTTTGTTATAACAATATGCACTAGCCATTGTTATCTTGAATTTATGATGGCTAAATAGCTAATTGCTTGATTCATTAGTTTTATGTTTGGTATATGAATGAGGGCCTAAGAATGCTTCTAGGATAAAAATGTTTCCTCATATATTAAATCAATGCTACTTGTCTTAGAGACTATTATAGAGTTTCATACAGGGTAACAATGTCACCCAAAATGTTATTTGGTCCTCTGGTTGAAATTTTGAAGTATTGGCCGTTTATTTGCTGTTTGACAAATAAGGAAATGAAGAAAGAAGAAGACATTTTGAATTCACTATCTGTTACTGCAAAAACTTGAATTTATCACTTGAACTCTTTTCTTTGAGTTCTGATTGACCAGGTTGTTGTATGTTCATGGTCAATGTCAATGTAATTATTTATGAAAATTTAGTTAGAATACACAATGAAACTTGTTTTAAATTAATGGTTCTAACATACCACAATAACATAATTCTATGCCATTAAGCTTGAAAGTAAGAAAAAAGACAAAGTGAAGGCTACAAATGACAGGGAAGGAGGTGTTGAAAAATTTGCTACCCGGAGACTTTTGGGGACTTGGTTTAAGATGGCTTGAATTGTGTAAAAGAGTCCATGTGACTGACCCAAACACCAATGTAATTAGATAGGATCAAGATGGAAGTGTACACAAAGATTCGGACACTGCTGTTGTGCTTTCTCTTAATAGATGGTCAAATTTTTCCAGAATATAAGTTTATCATGCCCTTATGTTTCTTTCTATGATTAGAGACTCCTCACTGATCAATCCCCACGGCTGAGGGATGCTTTGCGTTACACAATATATGGGAAATCTGGTGTTTTTGATGCTGAAAGATTCATTGATGTCATGCAAGCCTTTGAGAATTTTATTACTGCAGCAAAAAGTGGAGGCGGGGAGAATTTGAGTGGGGATATGGCTGAACTAGGCATTCTACTGAATCAAGAAAATTTTACTTTCCCTAGATTTCTACCAAGTGAATCTCAATCAAAGCAGCCTATTCAAACAAGAGCAGCCTTAGCATTTCTGCTGTCTGAGAAGGGGAACTTTTTCCGAGAATTTCTTCTGGATGAGGTATGTTTACATCTTATATTCAAAAGAAAGAGAATGTTATTTGCTGGCTAAAAATAGTGCCACCCTTCCCTATATTAAGGGCAGAGGCATATTCTTTTTCTCTCTTGAATGCTACATCTCTTTTCATCTTAATAGTCCTTAGTATTGTTTTATTGTTATTATCTTGTTAGCAAGAATTTTATCTACTTTTTCCATTAGTAAAATCATATCGAAGTAAGGACCATTTAGTGCCAGTCTTTAGCTGGAAGGTGACAAAATCTGTTGCAATGCAATCCATTCTTTAGTGGCTTTTCTTCCCATTTGAAAACCTCAAAAATTTCCATAATAAGTTCGCAAATGATTTATAACTCAAAAGGGTTTTTGGGAGTTTTATTGAGTAGCATCCTTAGAGATAGCACAAGAAAATTTCCCCTCCTAAAACAATTTTAACAAGAAATCTTTAATCCAGAATTAATTTTCCTCTGCTCAAATAGAAGCAGTAATATTTTCTGCTGCAGCTGTATTTCAGAAAATTTGAGCCTTGACCTTTTGAAATCTTTGCCTCCGCAATACAAGGCACATCTATAGATGATGTTTTAAATGAATTTACTAAATAGAATAGACTTTTCATTCGGTTGAAGTTGCTTCGCAGGTATTATTTCTTCTAGTTTCAAATAGGTTTACTTTGCCTCCAATCATCTATGCAAAATGTCTACCCTGCCGTCATTTTGTGGCCCACTATTTTTGCCTAAACAGATCTGATCATATCAACCTCCTATATCATGCAACTCATTTCAAAACAAATTCTGCTTGGTTGTAAACTCTTAAGTAGCCAAGATTTATTGTTCTTCAAAGATACGAAAAAATACATATTTTATAAGATAAAAAAAAGAATCATCTTGAGGAGAATAACTTGTCCTATTGAGAAAAGATTATAGTTTCATGTGTGGTTATTTATTGATCAAGTTTACAATGATTTTAACGGCTCTTATACTCTGTCATCACCGTTGATTCTCTTTTCATCATTGCTTTAGTTTTGATCTGTTATAACTTACGAGCAAATTCTTAAAATTCTCTGGAAACAATGGAACAAAGTGTTATTCTATGCATGCTAATAATTTTCTCTTAGATTGTTGTAAGTGTGCTTGTGGCCTTTATGTATGGTATTCTTCTTTCTCTTTTGGTGTGTGGTTATGCTAGACCTTTTCAATGTCCGTACTGATTATCCACTTTTTACATTTGCTCTTTTGAGAATTCTGCTCAATTGAAAGAAAACTTGCACCTTCCTTCTTTTTAGAGTTAGCGATTCATGTATTCATGTCGTACAAAATATAAAAATTTGTGTATTCATGTCATGTTTTACACAAAAATTATGTGTTATAATTCATGTTGACACAAAAATATAAAATGTATATATTTTTATTTTATTGAACTCATATATAATATTTTACTAAAATTTTAAATTGTATTACTTCCTTGTTTATTTTTTTGTACCGTATTTGTGTCATATCACTGTATCATGTTTTAAATTATTAGATCTACTTTTCTTTGTGTGAGGTTGGTTAGAATGATGCTCAAATTTGTAACTAATGTTTCTGTGCTGCTGAGCAGATAGTGAAGGGCATTGATGCACTTACTAGGGAACAGTTAGTTCAAATAATGTCTGTGTTGGGAGTCAGAAATGCTGCCCCTGTGTTCAGCATGGTTCCTACAGTTGGACCCTTCAAGCCAGCTGGACTTTTGCCTTCAATAACTGAAGAGGACAAAATTATATTGAATAATGTCCAAAAAATTCTCGAGTTCTTAACAGCCGGCAGTTCATTATCAGCTACTTCAAATCAGGTACTCAAATGTTTGCTCTTTACCTGAAACGTAAACCATTCTTGGAAGGAACTTCCATCTTTTTAGTAGGAGTGAAAAAAAATCAAAAAGATAAAAATTCGATTCAAAATCGTGGTTTATGGTTCGGTTTGGATCGATTTTTTTCTTATTTGGTTCGAAATAAATTTTGATATTAAATTTATATATTAGGTCTAAATCAAATATCAGATTGAAAAATAAAAAACAAAAAAAACTAATCCGAATTATATATTTATTAGTTTTTATATATTTAAATTTTTATAAAATAAAAAATTATTTTATACTTAAATTTATTTAAATATATTAAAAATTATATTAAAATAATATAAAAAATTTGAGGATTCGAATTAAATTGATAAAATTAAATTCAGATCAAATTAGATTTAATGAAAATTTATTTCGGATTCGGATTGAATTTTATAAATTTATAATTTTATATATCGTTTAAAAAAATTAAATTGAATTTGATCTTATTTGAATCGTTTTCACTCTTACTTTTTAGTTCATGTATTTTCGTCATATCTCATTAACTGCATTTATTTTATTCACATAAGCAGAGTGTGAATGTTGCTCAGGCTATCCAAGAGTTGCTTCCAGTGTTGCCAGGCGTATCTGCCAGGGTGCTTCCTGAGGTGCTCAGTCGGCTATCATCTCGGGTATTAGCACGCTTAATTCGAGATACATTTTTATAAACATTTTCGATATACGCCAACTGCTTTCCCCAATTGTGTTTATATTTTGTATAGGGATATAATATTATATTAAATGCAATATAATTACACGTCTTTCGCATTTCTTTCTGCTCAATGTCGATGCACAACAGATATAACCAAAATTTTCTTGTATAGATTAGATGGGATCTTTGTCCACATAAGAGCTACAAAGCACGTACACAATACGATAAGACTAGATAATTTTAAAAAAATAAAACACGAATACAGAAAGACACATGATCATGAAGGTGCTGTCCCAGACATGCAATTCGTCACCTATCAGAGTTGCACTTTACAATTATTCTTTTAATCCTTCCAGACAACAAGTTACTCCTGTATAAGATGATGTTGGGAAACACGTTTATCAAGGTCTTCAAGATAATAATGGCAGTCTCTGCTCACCTGAGGCATATGAGATGATGCTCTTTTTAAGTGGTGAAATATAGTGAGCCCCATGGAATGCAGCAGCTCGTAAAATATTTAAAGGACCAAAATCAACAGTGTATGCCTTCTGAAAACCATCCAGGACTGCCATCATCATAACATTTGTCGGTTTTCTGTCTGCTTCATATTTCTTCAGTAGCAATATCTGAAAAAGCAAAAACACAACCACTCCAGGATGAGTAAGCATCACAAACAGCATAGTTTCAGATTCTTTCCTTGAAAGAAAGAAGAAAATAGAAAGAAACTTATGGTTGCTGAAGAGACCAGATTCATCACATGTTATGAGGGTGGTTAGTTCTATTACATACCTCCCCAATGTCAGTGCCTACTGCAATACCCTCTGAAATGACACTTGAAAGTGTAGATGCATCTCCGAAACCCAAATTAACTCCTTGGCCAGCCAAAGGATGTACAGTATGAGCTGCATCACCAATTAGAACAACACGATTTGATGCATAGTCATTGGCATGCCTTAAGGATAATGGGAAGGCCATTCTTTCAGAGGCCAACTTGACTACTTTTGGTGGAATTTCAAAGCAATCATTAGCTGACCTGGATACAACTCCTTTGAGCCAAGAAAAAATGTCCGCATTACCCAATAAGCTTGATGTAGGGTGAGGACCATATCCATGATCCAGAGCATAATTTAAAGCTTTCAGAAAGTCATCCTCACTCATTGATTTGAACTCTGATGACTCTTTCGGGTTCATAGTCCAAACGATATTGCTAAACTTATCACCTATTGGCAGAAGTGCAATTGGACCAGCAGGTAGAAACCTCTGCCATGCACAATGATTTTCTACAGCATGTTCTACTGTACATATTATGGCATTCTGTGAGTAGTTCCATCCAGTTGTTCTGAATCCTGCTAATTCTCTAACTCGTGACTTTCCCCCATCGGCTCCTACCTGAGATGAATCTCATGTAACTTGACACCAATTACTAATGAAAAATGTCAAAATCTTCAAGGCATTAGAAAAAACTTTTATCCTATTAAGTATATTCAAAACGAGCAATCTAACTCGTTGGGGTGCAAGTTCAATTACCACCAACTTTGCATATAGGCTATTTCCGTCCTCCAGTTCTAACTTAGCTAAACGCCCATGAGTGAACGAAGCTGTTACTGATAATGTGCTGTCCACTTCCAAGGATGAAGAATTTGGTAGTATAGACATTGAAGTCAATCTTGATGGGTATATTTTCTTCTGAAAATCTGTATCCTGAAAATATTTAATTTACCTAGGTTCAATAATATGACTGTAAAACCATGACCATAGAAGAAAATAAGCAGCACTTTTTTACAATATTATTAGTGGGAATGTGCTTACTTTCGGGAAATGACTGCATTCTTAATGTTGAATATTTGGGAAGGAAAAGAAAGGGTGGGGTGGAGGGGGGAGGAGGAGCACAATGGGACCGGAGAAACTAGGTAATTCCAGCAAAGAAGATTAAAAAATAACTGCATAATTTTGTCTTTGCAACAGTAAAGGAGGGCCAAATAACCATTCGAGGATAAATGAAAGGAAGAAACTTCAAGTGAGATGGAGTAATTATGCTAAAGGTTGCATAACTTATCAATACCTGCAAACGTGACAACAAAGAACTAAGAAGCACCTTATTCTCCACCACACACCTAAAAACAGTCCAAAACCAGCATGTAGGCATTAGCATCTAAAAGATAACAAGAGTTGCCTCTTTAGTTTAAAGCAGGTGCTTACCCGAGTACTTCTTTGTTTGCGTCCCTGGCATTGTATTTTGTATAACCTAGGCCAGTATAATCCCAAACCTATAGTAGATCAGAATAAATCTGTAAGCAATTTTTTGATTGACAAACTTCTAGGTGCCATTAAAAATCAACAATGTCCATGGAAATAAGACATGTTCAGTAGCATGCTGGTTCTTATTTTAACCGAGACAATGAATAAAAGCAATTAAAGGCAATAATAAAGATGGCGTGATCTGCAAAAGAGAAAATATAACAACCAGCACCTGCATCTTATCAAAATAGGCATGCCGATGCTGCTCGACATATTGCCAAGCACCAATATCTGCAACGTGTGACACCACAGTTATTGAAATCAGAATAAACATGACAAACAAGCATGAGATATTGTAGCTAATTAAGAGAAAATATCAACTAGTGAAAGCAATACTGAATAATCAATTAGGCCAGTGGTTTCTCTTTCTTGTACACTTACCTTTCAGACAGAGAGTCCAAAATAATAGTAATTAGTCCTCCTATAATCAACTTTAATTTAACAAATCATTGCTAAGATCATAATCTTATAGCTGTGTCTAAAACATAACCAATTTTAAACTTTCTACTTAAATTTCATTTTCAAAGTTTTGCAAGATGCTAGCACAAAACCATTTATTGAGCTCTGCATAAGGTTTAAAACTGGCTAAGACATTATGTTTGTTACCTTTGAAGAAAGATATAGTCGCAGGTGTAACTGTACTGACCCTGGGATCAGGATGGACTTCTTTCTCAATGAAATGTTTTCTCCTCAAAGCCAGATTGCTATCAATGATGGCAACAGTCAAATGCTTCGTTAACGGTCTGGTAGCTGCAAATTAACATAGTATAAAATCTAAAAATTTCATCCTCTCAGAATTTTATGTTCATCAGCAAGAACATGCTCTTAAGATTGAAGAAGTCCTAATCATACATATTTATAAGTGTCACCAGCATCCATGTGTGTTATATCACCATGAAGTGCCTATTGCATGCATGCTTATGCCAGACCGAAATTGATGAACCATTTTTTATATTTCCAGCATAAGATGTATTGCATAACATAACAAGGAAATGAAGGGTAAATATAAAAAATTTAGCTACCCAAGGAACAAGCAAGAGCCAGGCCAACCATGCCACCTCCAACAATGGCAATGTCATACCGTAGATCTTCACTCTCCTAAAAAGTTGGAAAAATTAGTTAACTCAATCCAATATTTTGCATCAATTAGGCCTAGTTTAGCATTGCTATTGAAAGTGACTTTTGCATTCAAAAGCTACTTTTAACCCAAGCTCAATCCAAAACAACAACAAAAATGTTGCTTTTAACCCAACCTTAATCCTAAACAACAACAACAAAAATGGTAGCTTTTCAGTCTAAAAACTTGGTTTGCAAACCCAAACAAAAAAACACATCATGAGCAATGCTAAACTACAATCGCAACGATCAAAGGAAAAATTAACCACATTTAAGCTGGAAATACCAATAAAATTTGAAATAAAAGCAGAAACTTTAAGCAAGAGAACTAAATTAAAAAAAAAAAAAAAAAGACTACCTTTTCAAGGTTAGCAGCATTGGAGGTAGATGATATTGGGACTGCATCATTAGAAAATGGCTGCCTCCAGGGAATTCTCAATCTATTAACATTTGAGCCAAATTTTCTTGCGACAGTCCTGTTATTATAGCCGATAATCCCTCACTAAAAGCGAAAAAAGCACCGAAAAAGACATTAAAAAAGGAAATCAGTTTAGATTTTGGTCGAATTCGAACCTGTTCATTGTCGGAATGCTGCTGCTAAACGTGATTTGGGTTTTCCCAGAACCAGAGGGAGAGTTGTCGATCGCATCTAGCGTGATGGACACGCGCCGTGGCCTTTTCAATCATTAAAGGTTGCATAAAAACTGTCAACGTGGTGCTAACTGTCTTAACAATGACAGGTGGCAAAAAGTACGTGTGAGCTGAGTCATTTTCATTTTTTCCTTAAATGAAAATTTTTTTTTGGCTCACTTCTAAATAAAATTACAGGAAAAATGTTATAAAAAAAAAAAAAGAGTTTCTCGGTCTGTTTATCTCTCTCATTTAGGGCTTACAGGAAAAGAAATAAAATTTTGAACTTAAAAAAATTATTAAATTTTTACTTAAAATTTATTTAATGAATAATTAATAACAAAAATATTAATTTAATGTACCACAAAAAATAATTTAATTTTTTTATAAAAAAATCGTAGTAAGATTAATGCAGTTAAAATTTAAATTATAAACTTATTAAATTTGGATGTTACCTTCTAAAAATAAATATACGAATCAATTAAAATAATTTTTAAATTTTAAATAATTTAACTTTCAACTCTAGTAAATAGGTGTAAGTGGTTTAAGGGTTGTAAAGCGTTTGAAATTTTAATTTAATGATTAAATTTTAAATTTGAATAATTTTAAATAAAAAATAAATTAATTTTAGTAAATTTCATTGCTAGTCCACTGATCTTTTATAAATAAATAATTGACTTTTTGGACAAGAAATTTCATTTATAAATTTACCACATAGGTTTATGAGCAATGTCACGCATTGTATGAATATTATTTTAGTTGTTTGATTGTTGATTTAAAAGGTTTCAGATGATAAATCTAAATTTTTAAGTCATAGATGAAAATGATATATTTATGAAAGATCTTGGACTATTTGTGAATTTTTCTCAAAAAACCCAATTTAATTTAAATTTCCTGAGAAATCAAATTCAAAACATTGACATTCATGATAAACAATTGAATATTGGAAATGAGAAGATTAAATTTCAAGAGAATATTAATTAAGAGTTTATATTTTCTTATAAAATTTAATAATATTAAAACATAATGTGTGTTGAGTGTCGTGTAAAAAACCCCGAATCCAATTCTCATATGAATGCAAGTTTTAAAATATGATAAAATGATATGATACGAATATAATATAAAAAAATAATACGATTTAAAATTTTAGTAATAATTATATATAAGTCTATCAACATAAAAAAAATATTTTATATTTTTGTATCGACAAGAATTGTAATATATAATTTTCGTATAACAACGATACAAATATCCGAATTTTAATATTTTACATAATACAAATATATAAATTATCATATCTATATATATGAAACCAACCATATACAAGTCAAATTGAACGTTGTAATATTTACTTTGAAGTGTTTGAATTGAAGAAGTGATCCACCTGAAGGAAAGAAATTTTGGTTCAATGTATATTTCAGAGTCCAAAGTAATTTTTTAGAGCAAAATAATGTGGTCTGTCCCAAGTAACATGGCCTTGCATTGCCTTCAAGGGGTTATTATTGCTCATGAGAGGGCTAGAACGTAGCAGCTGATGGTTAAGAATTCAAAAACATGCAGGAATAAACCATGCTTTCCTCAAAGAACATTATTGAGAAAGGTGGCCTAGAAATTTGAGGTTTCGATAACCTCATCTACGATGATTCATTTCGAAATCGACCAATCACATGTAGGGGCGGATCGGGCAGGCAGGAACTACGGTCTCTCCAAAAATTTTTTTACACCATTTTAGATCAGTCACTGAGCCTACCAAAACTAATATATATCCTCCCTTCTTCCATTCAATTCACTGTTTGACCTCCCTTTAGTTATTGTCTAGCTTTGCCTCTGATGGCATGTCCATCACCTTTGTAATCAAAATGAAGTTTTTGATGTAATTCTCTCTTTATTCCTTTTCGAAACTATAATTATTTCCTCTCTTTGCCACTTTTTGATTGCAGGCTTTCGTGCCATGAAAAAAGCAAAACAAAATGTGAAAGATAAAACATGATTAGATGCCCATCTCAAACTCAAAATATAACAAACAATGAGTACATATTCCCCCGACAAAAACAGTCAAAAGTTGGGGGGTTAATGATACTCCAATCCTCTTTTTTTTCTTGTTTCACCCCATTTTCACCTTACTAATGAGTGCTGAGGGCAAAAGCAAAAGAAAAACAACTTCAAGTGGTGGGAGCTGCTATATGAAAAAATAATTGCACTTGCCTTTTATATAGATATGATAATTTATGTATTCCAATCCTATTTGTTTCGTTTCATTTTTATAATTTTTTTAATATTATTTTTATGTTGTATCATCATATCATGTTTAAAATTATTAAGTTTGCTTCTATATGCAGGCATACATCCATATTTTCCCAACCTAAAAATTCCACCACATCTTCTTATTCCTATTCCTATACCACTCTCTTCTATGTAAAGCAAAGTTATGCTAATAAATGATATACATGGAGCTGTTTCGTCGCCATTTTTATTTGGTTGATCAAATACACATAATAAACAAAGCAGGATTCATGGTCATGGTCTGATCAATAAGTAGGAAGCAAATATAGAAAGGATATTGGGGTTGTACTCCTGGCGGCGTCGGCGCAGAACAGGTGCACTGCTCTAGTGTGCTCTTGCTATGTACCATCAAGGAATTTGGATAGCAAAGGTGAAGAAATTAACAACCGAAGCAGCAGCACCAGCAGCAGCAAGAAGAGGTCTGGTGTGGTAAAGAATATTAAAGATGGGGTCATGACAGAAGTTGGGAATACTGATGAATTACAATCAAGCCCAGACAGGATCATCAATGGTGGCTGCAGCAACAGTAGATACAGTATTAGTGGGACTAATGGGCCTCGCATTGAACTAATTCCGACTCCCAAGAGTAATCTCAAGAAAACTACAATACTTGACCAGGAGTCCCAATCAAAGATAGAAAGGAGGAAAGTAAGTTGGCCAGATGCTCATGGAAAAGACATTGCCCATGTTCAGGAGTTTGAGCCAAGGTAACATTATGTATCCCCTGATAGCTATGGTAAATTTTGGATATGGCTGAACTCTTTTTAAACCAAAACACCAATGAGTTTAAAAGTATACTTATTTGCCTATCTTTCCTATAAGAGTAACTCTTTAATTACCTTTTTATAATTGACCCTGTAGGTAGCTCCTAGCTAGCTAGCCACTAATTTACATTAGTTAGTGGCCTTATTCATAAACAATCTGTGACAGTTTGAATTAATTTCAGGGCATTAATGAAATGAAATATTGGAGGGACAACAAAATGTGGCATGTGTTTCACATTTACAATTTCTTAATATAATCTGAAGTTTAACTCGGTTGATTAATGCAATTGGTTTTAAAAGATAACATTCAATAAATATAAAATTTAAATCTCAATATTTGTAATTTTTTTTTTATTCGTAGGGCTTTCGTTATTAAAAAAAATTGGTAACAGCCCATGAGGATATATAGAAAGAGAATTCCTAGCTAGTTGACAACTAAATTTCACATAGCAGTCCAAGAAATGTTATCTATATTTCTGATTCTTTGTTTGTTTGTTTGTTTGTTTTATCATAAAAGTGTGTCAGATGATGGAGAGCTGAAGGGAGTCCGGAACTCTTGCGTTTGTGCAATTCAGTGAAGCAACAATATTTCCGGACAGGTAATGTCCTTCTTCAGGATGATCTTAGCAGCAAATTTATGATAATCTTGGATGAAAATTGTATAGAAGATTTACATGAATATTCTACTGCTTATTCATTGTTAGCCAAATGTGAAGATCTCAGAAATGAAAGATGAATCAAATTGCAGCTCCCAAAAATATGTAGCAGTGATATGCTGCATCAGATTCAACAATGTCCCAAAGCTGATTGACTATAGCATATGCAGACAGATTTGTGTGAGTAGCTAGTTTCGTTTATGGTTTAGGAATGCATGAAAATTTTGGATCAATTTGAATATCAAACTTTCATTTGAATCAATTTTTTTATTATATTCAGATTAAATTTGGATATATATATATATATTAAGTTGGAATCGAATTTTAAATCGAAAAATAAAAATTAAAAAAATTAAATTGAATCGAATTATATATTTCAAAATTTATAAAATAAAATAATTATTTTATATATAATTTATTTAAATATATTAAAAATTTAAAATTCACAAACTGAAAATCAAATCGAATCAATAGAATTTATTTAAAATCAGATCAATTTTCAAAAAAATCAATTCAAATTGAATTTTACAAATTTATAATATCATACATTTTTTAAAAATATTAAATCAAATTTCAACCGGTATCACTTCAAGTTGAAGGTGTTGATTTTGAATGTTTCCTTGTACCTACCCTCAAAGTAAAACAGAAGTAAATTGGCCATAACTATTGCAAAACAGGTACATATGTTTCTTGTTCTTTTTAGGTGCATGTGTTAATAAATGACCCCTTTGGCTTTGGCAAATGAATCTGGTGATCAAATGAGTTCGAAATCATATGGAAATTACAGCCCGTCAAGAAGCTGATAGCAATTTTCAAAACTTTCATTCACTTTGTACCAAAATCTTAAGTTCACCTTGAAATCTTTGAAAGCTTGAATATTATAGTTAAGGACGAAGCAGTTCAATTATTAATTTTAAAAATTGAAAATTAAATGAATGAATGAATGAATTTAATTAATAATTACTAAAAACAAATTAATTGAATTAATTTGTCCAAATTTAATCGGTTTTAATAAATAAAATCGATTAAAACCAACATATGTTCAAATTCTACAACTCAAAAATCAAATGAATTAAACAATTTATTTAATTGATAATTACTAAAATCGAATTAATTCAATCAATTTCAATTAGTAAAATCGATTAAAACCGACAAATGTTGAAATTCTAGTTGTTATGTATGATCTTGACGAGTTCCAATGGAGTATGCTTGGAATTGAAAATTTCCCAAAAAAATCCAAGTTTCCAATATGATCTAGAACTTGACATTATTATGGGTTTTCATATTCTTGTAGGACCCTAAGAAGACAAGTTATCGAAATCTTTGCTTATTACCACAATCATGGCATAAATGCACACGCCTCTGCAGCACTAAGGTAAAACATGATTGCTAAGAAGCTTTATATTTGATTGAATTGTCTGTCACTTTACTTGTTAGAAAGAAAAAATTAAACTAATAAT